GTACTGTACATTTCTAATTTGTATAGTACTGCTCTATTGCATCTCACAGATTGGTTTATTTATATGGTTTACTCTTTTTTCACTACATTTCATTTTTCTGACTATTTCTGTATGGGACCAATTAAACTTGCTGTCTAATTAACCGATTCAAAACTTGTAAATACTAAATATATGGTATATCTCTGGACAACTGCTATCTTACATCTATCTTACTGTACATCTTTTAAGTACACTGACAGCAAACATCAACTTTTTACAGTAGCCTAGAATATTTTGGCACATCAAGCACAGCAGGTTAGGTAAGCATTATATTAGCTACAACTCAGTCATGTTATAAATGACCAGGGTTAAGCTCAATGTAAATGGATACAGTATGTGACAAACCAGCAAGCCACACAGAAGTTTCATCTCTTATCTCTTGTCTCTTCTGCTGCCCAGTAGGTAATTTATAGCACAGTACCCTAATGCCTGGCTAATGAACGCCTGTCGTACTGTATAAATACTGAGGAACTGCATACCAGCATACTTTTAAAGACAGGCACAAGAGTCCATTATTGTTTTTAAAGCTACTTCTTTTTTCAAACCAGTGTGAAAGAAGTCATTAGGGAAAACAAAGCAATTAGAAATATCTGAATTCAATGAGAAAATTCAGATCCACTTCGGATGTTATTAGTGCTTCACCACTAATAATGTCTTTACTGCAGAATTCAGACATTCCCCATTGTAACTGAGAGAAGCATGGAACTAGAGAATTGCAAAACATTGAACAAAGGTATTTTATTTCAGTATGATTTTACCTTTCCTTCTGGTACTAAACAGAGAATCGAAGAACATTCCTCCTGACACACTGGAGGGAATGCGTTAATTGCACATACATGTAGAATAATCTTTTCTTTACTAGGTCAATCCCCTCTAGATTTAGAGGGTACATAATGTAAAATAATGACTCATAAAAATGTGTTCCAGCAACCGTAAAACCTATTACTCTGCCAATGAGAACCCAGGTGAAAAGAAAGCTGCAGAATAATAGATTTATGAAACATTTAAAGTAACAGCCAAGATAACCACTCTTGTATGTCACTGTAGTGTATCTTCCAAACATGCCTTTAGCGTGCTGTTTGTTCTTAATATTTATTCTTGTAAGAGCCATGGAAAATATAACTGGTATATACAGTAGGTACTGTACTGTACATCGCAGGTAAACTATTGTCTTTGAAAGTAAACCTGACCTGAAAACTTTCAGATAGCTGGAAACTACTTCTAAATCACCAGAGACCAACAGGAATGCAGCCTGCATATAGAAAAGAAACTAATTTCCTACTTTACAATTCTTAATATTTATTAATAATGTTGTCACCAAATGCCAAAAGCCACCAAAGTCCCTTCCTATTTATTTCTTATTTTGGGAGGTGATATCCAGCGCTCACCCTTTAATATCAGTTCATTCTTAAATATGACTTTTTCTGTTTAGGACCGTTGTGTTTTGTTGTAGAGGCTAGATGTGGCCCCTCTTGCTCAACTGATTGTGAGTATCTAGGTGGCTGACTGAGCGTCTCATTCATCTGTGTCAGAAAAGAACCCTTGCTATCTGCTTTGACAACACGGCTGATATGAAAGGTCCTTTCAAAAGATAGAATACAGTGGCTACGGGGAACCTTGGAGTAACACTTGTAGTTAATTTCAGGTGTCTCAGGTGGGTAGCACAGCCTTTTCGCCACTGTATGTGCTTAGGGTGAAACCAAGACTGTCCCTGTGTTTTAAATTAGCCTTCCAAAACTTTGAACTACCCATCCATCATCATCTCTCTCTAACTTTCGGTTGGATTCCTCTGGGACTTCCCAGCTTTCACCTGAGATACAAATCACTACAACCACCAGGAAACTCTCTCCCTCTTCCCAGTGGAGCGAAATGGCTCCACAGAGAGTGGTGACTGCTCCTATTCCCTTAATTGTCTAGGGAAAGCCAACTCCTCTCTTTTGGCCAAGAGGACGAGCAAATCAGTTCTTTAGGGTTCCCAGAAAGATTAACCCTCTCCAAGCACGGAGTATGATTCTTAGATGGAGAAAAACAGCTTCAGGTTGCTGTTTCGCAGCCAAATCCATTTGCAGCTCAGTGTTTTTAATGTGTGCAAACAATTATTTTTTCATTATAGACAGAGTGTTACTCAAAAATTCCTTATGTTTTTTGCATGCATGCTAATTAAATCGTTAAGATATAATGTATGATGATGTAAGTTATTATCTGTAAAACTCCAAACAAATTCGTTTTGAAGATCTCACATATGATGTCATATATGATGGTGTTAACAAATGTGAGGTTAACAGAAATTTAACTACACTAAAAGCATTTATGGACATTTCCCATTTGGGATGTTTACTTTTTCCAGTTCAAATTCAATGTGTTTTTTTTTCTTACCCACAAATACACATAGTGTAAATACAGAATCATCTGTAAATGTGATCATCACAATTTTGTTCTTCATTTATTACTGGAAAAATGCATAGGTACATAAAGGCTTGGGTTCACTTTGTACTTAATGTTAATTGCTTATCAGAGCAAGAACTGTTATTATTGCAAATCCTAAAATGGACTAAAAGTTAATAGAGAAAATTTGCTAAAATGCTAAATGCTAAAATTTACTGTCAAAGTCGATGAATACCTCTATAAAAGATCTTCCATGTGAACAAGGACACTGTTTTAAGAAGTTTGAATGTTTGGTTTACTGCTAGCTCTATATAATAAAAATAATTACTTTGGTGGCTATTGTAGTACTTATTGAAAAACATTGTTGGTGGACTATTTCAGGATGCTTTATTCCAAACTTTATACTTTTATTCTAATATCTATATGGAGTCTTGATAGTAATTGTGTCATTTTGTGGTAATATTTCGGGTTCCATTTTAAGATAATGTACGGTAAAATAGAATTGAGATCAAAGTATAATAAAAATCTAAACCAACAGCCCATTCAGGCTGTCATAGCATCCTATGAATTAAACGCTGCTAGCAGGATCTTTCGCTTTTATGATATGTTACATTGAATAACTGTTCTGTGAACTAATCCAAAAATTTCACCCTCCTTCCTTGTGATAACATTGTTTCATCTATTGATTTTGAATACAATCGTGTTACGTTCTCATGCTTCTTCGTGAGATTTACTGATCTACAGTACCAATTAATTTGGTAAAATATCTTGAACCGCGTCTTCATTTAAGCATTTAAATATTTGGAAAACCTCTGTCTATTCTGCTGTGAGCTGTAACCTGGTGATGATAAACAGATTTAGCTGTTTCAATCTGACAGCACCTCTCACTGCCTTCAGGCTGAGAACACATCTAGCTGCCCTCCACTTGACCTTTTTCAAAGCATCTATAGATCTTTTCTGACCTGGCGACAGACTTGGAAACATTGCTCTGTGTGTAGTGGAACTGGAGTATTGTATAGTCCCATTTTAACGGAAGGATTTTCTTAGTTCCCATACCAGTTAAGTTCTGATCTCCCAGAGTTCTGCTTATACGTCTGCTAAAAAGTCTTTTTTTTCATTAACAGTCAGTTTAGTACTCTGCATTCATGACCAATTCTGTACTAAGCCCTTGGTATACACAAGAGGCTGCATCAAAGTTGGGGAAAGTCCTATACTTTACATTGTATATTAGTATTAATGTTCATAATGTTTGTGTATTTCCTTTTCTGCATGGGGCTGCTTTTTGTCATAACCATGAGATTAAAACAGCTCACATGCTAAGAGATTCAGCTATAGGAGAAATATGTGTGTATGAGCTGTCCATCACAGCAACACTTTGGTCTCTTACATGTACCTCTTATTCCCTTTTTAATCACTTCTTCACAACGTCTGGGTAAGTAACTCATATGGTATTAGTCACAGAATATAGACCCCACAAGAAGATATACAACATACAAAGGAAGGAGTACCTTTCTGTTAATTCCATGGTGAAAACAGCACAAAAAAAGTTTTTTTGTTTTTATTAAATGTTTAAACAAGCCTAGACAGATGCATAATTCTCAGTGACACAATACTGAAAGATAATCGTCATCTGTTGGAAATGAGATGGTTAAAACTACATGTACAGCATTCTCTGTCAAACGCTTCTCTGTCATTGCCATCACTGTGGAGAGATTCTGGAAAAAGTGCTGGATCAGTGCTGGAATTTAAAAAAAAAACTAAAATCTGAAATGCCTGAAATCTAATGAAAATCCATCCTTAATTCAGGTTTGAAAGTGATATGTGTTTTTTGAAAAACATACTTGCATTATCATATCAGACCTTTTATTTCAATTAATGGGTTAGAAGTAATGCATTGCAATAATATATGTATATAGTTAATAAACTAGGAAACTACATAAAATAATACACTCTTGTCCTTTGTGAGGTGGCTAATTTTTCATAAAGGTGAGGTTCAGTTAAGATTCCTCCAATATGGAAAACTTATAGCCCAGAAACTTGTCCTCTCTGAACAAGTGTATTACTCCGTGTAACTTCACATTGTTAGAGCGTTATTTTGTGTCTACTTCAAAAACTAAAAAATAAACAACTGCAATTACAGAAATCCAACTGTTTTTAAAAACAACACAAACTTTAGAGCATAAAAGTTTCAGTTCTGTTGATACTATACGTACTGTAAGAGTTTCGGTTTCTGCTCATTGTAAATATTGTATCGCTTATGTTTTGTGTAGCGTTTTACACATTTCAGCAGTGTAGTTATGTAGTCAATGTAACTGATTATAAATATAGTTATATGATTTTAATAAATACGAAATGAACTTATTCTAACATTATAAAAACAACACTAGTTATGTCCCGACTCCGTTTGCAGTATACTTCAACGGTTAGCCGGAAAATGTTTTTAGATTATATGCGTTGCAGTTTTGCAATTATATTTCTTTCGCCTACATCATCGTTAAGGCAATTTGTATGTTTTTTCAGTCTCGAAGTTGATTATGATTGAATAATTCCGTCTCCGAGGAAACGGACCAACTTACCGGCGCTAACGCTGCCTGTGGGCTCTGCCTCCGACTTCAAGCCCTGTGCGTAGTCCCCGCTCTCCTGCGTCTTCAGCACCTCGGAGAGCGACTGCCTTGTGCTCTGCTTTGTCCTCTGGGTTGAAAACACATTCGTGCGATTGAAGCTTCGTCTCTTTCCACGGATGGATTCCGGAGCTGACTGGCTCCTCTCCGACTCCGGGTCCGAACCCACTTGGACTACGGCGTTCTTCGATCTGGTCAAAGCAGATGTTACGGAGCCCATCCCTGCATTTGCAAAAATTTTCCTTTTTTTTAAAAAAACAACAACAAACAAACCTCGTAGCCCGTTTATAGACAAGCGTCTTTTATCGTTTCGTCGTTCTTTATTGCAGGTTTAGATCAGCTTGTAGTAAAAACTTTCCCGTCATGTAGATGGAGCGTATCGTGTTTAGCTTCAGTAATCAAAATGTGGAAAAAGACGCCAAAAACTTAAGCGCCATGAATTACTCTGAATTGCATCCATAGGTCTTAGTTGTCTTTTCACACAGATTGTTGTCTTCCTTTTTGTCTTTCTTGTCTTTTGTTACAGTGGCGCTCTCAGGATAGCGAGCACAGTGTGAAGTTTTCCAATACACGATACAGATCATATAGGCGTCTCACATGATTTTTTTTTTGAATCAGAGTTTCCTTTGCCGTTACTGTCAATTGACACAGCGTCCACATAAAAAAAAGTCCGGTGTCTGAAGTGGATATCGTCACATGGACCAAGTTGCAGTTTAGTTTTCCACTTGACTAATATCAGCTCCCCAAGGCAAATCGAATGACGTAAGCAGATGGTTGTAATTAGTCTGGCTAGTTTTTCTGTCGAGACGCACCAGCACACTGACTAAAAGAAACCGCAAAAATCGAGCGGCAGATTAGACAAATCTGTCTCTGTTTACAGCAATGAAGGTGAAAGTAGTAAGTACAGGTTAACTTCTCTTCTCGGTCACATGCATATAGTATAGCCTAGTTACGTCGTATGTACAGTTAGTAGTTTTAAATGACTAATTAGCCCGCCAATGTTTGCAGTATTGATTCATAGTATAGTTTAAGTAACTAGTGGGCTTTTTAAGAAAATACACTCTTGCACATGTATGAATGTATAATTTCAGAAGGACTGGGAATAAACCCAGAGCGCTTGGAGATTCTTGAGCGGGTTAATTTGCAATTTGGAACATGAACTTTCTGTGTACTATAAATAAAGTCGTGGTATAGTTCACAAGAAGGACTTTTGTGTTTGTGTTAGGTAAAACCACATCTTGTACTGTGAATTTGTCATTTGCACTCGAGGGCAAAGAATGTCATGCAAATCTTTATTAAATTATCAGCAAAGTATTAAGTGCTTCCCTCAAGTGCAGCCCAGGTGTGCTTCTGTTAAGTCACCACTCAGCGTTGATAAGGTGGGTGTCCTCTCCCTTCAGTGGGTGAACCCTTCTTTTGATTTCAGGCCCTGTAACATTACTTGAATGATGAATATAAAGACAATATATTCAAAATAAACCAAGAGTAGGTGATGGCAATAAATCCGCACTGATCCATTTTAGCTCCAGTCCAACAACTGTGAAGCAGTTTTGCTAAGAAGAAGGAAGCTGTCTTCAGTGACAATGCATCTGTCAGTATTAATTTTGAGTGTGTCATGAACACCTGTTTTTCCAATAAGGCCATATCTGAAAACCTGAAGACAGGCTTTTTACTGAGCTTCAATTTTCTCACTGTGTATTTTATACAACTGTTCCTAATGACTATCATTATTTTTCAGTTTCTCAGTAAGTGTTCACTGGCACAGGTGAAGTCACTGATTGCTCGGAATGTCCCATTCAGAAGAGTAACAGGGATCTTTTAACTTCAGCCTCAAACACTACCATTTGTTACTTATCAATTAACACTTACAAGATTCAAGATAAGTTTAACATCCTGGTTACCCCACATTTACAGTTTAAGCTATGAGTTGTCCATATGTACAAATAAATAACCTAGGAAATTCATAAATGACAGGCCAATTCAAAACTTGCCCATCAATGAGAAACTATTACAGCCATTATCCATTACATTATTGAGTAACTCAAAGAGAAAGCTTCACTACAATGCATTTTTATTGGAAAAACAAAGAAAGGAAAAGACATATAACCATGACGTGAAGCCATGTTTGCAGGATCTACAAAATAAATCTGTTGTTCAATTAATAGATAATGAGCACACAGGAGCAGAAATGTTGTATAGTACACATACTGAATACAAAATGAAAATGTGATGATGTGTGAGTCTTTTTATATGGATTAAAGCTGCTCTTTAGGTGTACAACCTTCATCACATGGCAATGATAAATAAGGGAGTGCAATATATTAATTGTTTGGAGTATGACAATTCTTCAGCCTATAAATATCATTTAAAACCTATTTATACTCCTTGAACCACACTGCCAGACATTAATGTAGTCATATTACAAATCTGCTCCAGTATGTATAAAAAGTAATTTAAGCAACTGAATAGGCTTGTATTCTTACCCATTACCCTAGCATGAACAAGGGCATAGGAGCACAATTATTAACAAGAATGTGTTGTGACACTATTCATCACTTCATTCTCAGACAGTAACAAAAACCACAAAAAATTGGAAGTGAATTCCGGCATTTTCTAAAGGCCTATTACAATATTTCCATTAAGACATACCCAAACAGGATACTTAGTTGGTGTTACATAATTAATACTTGGTGGTCTGAATATGTGCTGTAATTCTTATGCATTTCAATATATTTTAAATCATGTTTTCACTGAAGGATGACTATATCTGTATCTGTATATCTAGGGTGTGCTAGTTAATTGGAGCTGACCAGAATGGTAAAAGGTATGATAAAAAATTAGACACAAAAAACTTTAGAATTTAGAATATTTATACAGGGCGAGACCTTAAAAAAAAGTCTGTAAATCAATCTATTAAGTGCCTGAAGTAAATTATGATCAATACTTGGCACATTTTGTTTATTCTGTACAACAGGAGCAATTTGTAAGGGGTGCTTAAAATGGCAGTCTGCAGATCTGCAGTCCTATCAGATACTGAACAACTGTAACACAAAGCAAGGACATTTCAAATGATTTTAATGCCATCCAGCCTTTTCAAAGTGCATTATAAAGTGTGCTTAAAGGTTTTTGATCTGTCTTTTAATGACTGTGATGTGAAAGAGGTGAAACCTCTTATTGCATTTAATTGAGTTTTTACTTTTATGAAGAACAAGGCTTTGAGCATTTTACAAAGAAGGCCGTCATTTAATTGCTGAGTGTGTAGTGCTTTTTGTACTTGTCCGCATTTGAGAAGATTTCCAGCTGATTGCTTAAATACAGCTTGTGACAGACTTCTATCTTGGGTTTGCAAGGCTGTTTAAATTTTACTTTTTAAAAAATGTTTGTCATAGTAATAAACATGCACAGTCACCCATGTACTGTATACATGGGTGAGAAGGGATTTTAATCTAATTTCTTTGTATCAAATGTAAGTATGTATATCAAACTTTTTTTACTGAAGGGGAGGTAAAACATTATTTGAATATGCACATCCTATGACATTTTTGTGGCTTGCATTTATTTTTTTAACCCCGCTGCACACAGTCTAAAATTCTATTGCGAGAGTACAATGCTCAATACCATATGTACCTACAGTACATCACATGCCGAAAGAGGAGGATTTAAAACAATGCGGGTTACTCTTCCCAGTGGCCCCAACAGCCTCCTGACTTGAAGTGAGAACTGAATAAAGGGGTTAAGACGTCTGTGTTCCTCAAAGGTAGAACAGCAGAAAAAAAAAGAAGGGATTATATAGAAAGGGAAAGGCCACCACCAAGCAATATTGACCACTTTGCCCTGAACGGCCTTAGTAGGAATTCAAACAGATACAAGTCTTTTCCCCAGGATAACTATAAATATCCAGCTGTGATGAGCAGCTTCCATTAGTGCTTTCTGCTCCATTCTCCTGCGGAGTGGCAGCAGTAAACCAAATTAAGGGCCAGAGGCATGAAAGGAAGAGATGGTTATTCCAAAAGAGGAAAGCTTGTATGTGTACATCCCACCACAGAAGTACAATGAAGTGAGTCTATGTATTTGTCCATTGTCCAAGAAAAAGAGGTTTAATGATATACCTACAGGGCAATCCAGTTATTGAACCATAAGAACATAAGGAATATTGCAAATATGATATAAGGGGACTACAGATGTGATCAAAAAGCACAGGGAATCCGCTTCAACAACCAGGCTGGTGAATTTGATCCTTGCAACTCTTTATGTACAGAAACATCTCCTGCTCATCTTCTTAAATGCACGTCTTCTTGATTTCTGTTTGTGTCCCCGTGTCCTTGTTTCATTGCTGATCTTTGAACTAACTTCACCACTAACATATATATATATATTTTTTTATTTTCAATTTCATGAGCAATACCAAACTACAGAGACCTTCTTCTACAGTATGAGTGTGAGACATAGAAGTCTTGAAGACAGGCTTAATGGAAATCTGTAGTGTGTTTCCAACATAATTCCCAATGTAAAACCATCTCACTGGTTGCTATCTGTCCCCTGCTTTGATCACATGGGTTTATTGCCATAGTGAGGGCCTTTTTATAGGAGTTCCCCAGTGCCGGATCAGACCAATTACTGAGGTTAAATTTAGCAGCACCATGCTTTGACAACAGCCTATTGTGCCTTCCTTCCTGCTTGGCCCAGAAGAGAAAGGAAACAGCACACGGAGCTGGAGGTGTAGCAGAAGGAATCTCGAGTCCCTCTCTTGAGACCGCTGATGGGTTGTTTATCCTGACTACATTGAGTTTGTTTTCATACCTGTGAAATTAAAAATGCTTAATGTCTCCTTTAACCACAACTGACACCTTGCAATTAACTGGAGGTGCACGGAGTTGGCGTGTACTGTTTAATCTTTTCCAAAACACAAGTAATTAAACACTTGGCCAGCAGCCAGGTCGAGACAGGTAGTTTTTGTTGTTCAAAAGCCTTAATTGCTTTTTCCTTCCCAAGTTTCCAAGGTAACTCTGGATCTTTAAATTAAAAATGCCTTATTTTGTTATGGTACTGAATATATTCTGTTATTTTACATTTAAATCATTATTTTAAATAAAAAAGACAATTTAAATAAATGAACACGTAGTGAGATATTCCATTTTGATATCTACAAGAAGATATTATGTAGATGGATACATTTTAATATGTATTTTCTCTATCCAGATTGATACATTTGTCCTGGAAGGGTAGAACACACCCCAGTTTGGAAAACAGTTTAATCTGGGACCACATACATTACAGGCAACTGGTAGACCAGCAGCTGACAGGTGACTATCCACTTGGTTCTGTGCCTTGTCTTCTGTGGAGGAACCTGCTACCCCCTGACACCAGGACTGTTCCTGCCTCTGCCAGTGGACGTTCCCTTGCTGTCCCAGCTACGCAGGGTGCAGTTGAAACCTGTTCTCCACAGACACTATGGGCACACAGTTTTTAATCAGACTATAGATTTGTCTGGCACTGGACTTTTTAATGTTTTAATTATAAACTTTTTTGTTGTATTCTGTACATTCAATGGAGTGTAATTGCTTTATTGTAATAATTTCATAACTATTAGAATAAGAATATAAATATAATTCAGAATGTCAAGCTAATATATTTATAATAATTGCTTAAACTTATATAGCACTTTTCTGGACACTCCACTCAAAGTGCTTTACAGGTAATGGGGACTCCCCTCCACCACCACCACCAATGTGCAGCATCCACCTGGATGATGCGACACCAGCCATAGTGCGCCAGAACGCTCACCACACATCAGCTATCAGTGGGGATGAGAGCAGAGTAATGAAACCAATTCATAGATGAGGATTATTAGGAGGTCATGATTGGTGAGGACCAATGGGGAATTTGGCCAGGACACCAGGGTTACACCCCTACTCTTTTCGAGAAACGCCCTGGGATTTTTAATGACCACGAAGAGTCAGGACCTCGGTTTTACATCTCATCTGAAAGACAGCGCCTTTTTACAGTATAATGTCCCCGTCACTTTACTAGGGTATTAGGACCCACATGGACCACAGGATGAGCGCCCCCTGCTGGCCCCACTAACACCTCTTCCTTAGTTTTTCCCAGGAGGTCTCTCATCCAGGTAGTTAGCTGCTTAGCTTCAGTGGGTTGCCATTTGTGAGTTGCAGAGTGATATGGCTGCTGACAATATCCTTTGCTGTTTTTGTTATTGTTGCATCGGCAATGATATCTGTTGCTGCTGCAGTCTTTGAAAAATCATTAAAGTTTGTGTGCACCAAGTATGGAACCGTGATTTTATTTCCCATGACAAACACCCGCTTCCTTGTTTTCCTATGGGAAGCAGGAGGAACAGCAGGTGTTTTCAGGGCTGACAGCTTTGCCCAATGAAGGGGTCAGTGTAGCAAAGCAAATCTACATACAAAGGTGTGTAGATAAAAGATAAAAGAGCTAAAAGGGGGAAAGCGTGCTTATGGGATTAGATTTAAGGATACTAAGCTTTCTTTTAAACAAGCAAAATGCTGTTTGAAGTGAGGGCAAAAGGACAAAGACATTAGTTTCATAAAAGAGAGAAGAGTGTGTTTACTGAACAGCAGAAAGAGCAGTGGGGACATAATTTGATAAGTGTTAATGTATTTGATCTGAGGCAGCTGGGCTGCACAGTGATTAGCATTGCTGCCTTGTTGCTCATGATCTCTGGGTTCAATTCCTGGGGTGCTCTCTGCATGGTGCTTGAATGGGTGACCTCTGGGTGCTTCACTATGCTAATATGTTGACATAATAAACATAATAAAATTCTGAAACTGATATTTTGTTGTGGATTAATCCTTTCCTTGTTTTTAATCATTTAAAGAAACCTTTTACATACATTTTTCAGAACTTAAACTAGAATTATAATGTACGTAGACTACACATACAATATTAAAGTGAGGTAAATATATTCCAATCTCAACAGGATCTGACCACCATGGTGTTTCCCAATTAGAAATGTACGTACTAATGGACAGTATAGGAATTAAAATAATGAATAATGAGAAGTTGGTGTTGTTTTTATTTTTCATCTCTGCTAGTTTTTAGACACTAGTGCAAGAAAGATGAGGAAGAAGAGATTTATCATTTTGAAACAGACAATGGAAAGTACTTCTTAAATGTCCTTCAAGAAAAGACACATTTCTCAAGAAATCTGCCTTGCGTGCTGTATTTAGAAAATATTTTTGTGTCCATGATTCTCAGTTGTAGAATCTTGATCGTTCTACAAGTCACGACAGCAGGGTTTGTCCGTGCTGTTAGCGTGCCCTCCTTGTGGGTAATCATTTCATCTCTATGCATTTATTCAGCAGCACTTGTCTTTGAAACATGGAAGCAAAGGCCCCAAGCAAACTACCATCCTCAAAACACGGACTGAGCTATAGCGACATGTCAACAAATCCTCCTGCAGGCATAGACTTGGAATTTCTCATGCATGACATGGGCCTGAAAGGTTTTCTCTGAGCTCTGGGTGTTTTAAAAGGTCTTCACATGTTAAAAGGTCATTCTTTTGAGGAAACGCACTGAAATGAGCATGAGTGCAGTGATTTTTGAACGGACAGCTTTCCCGAAGTGTGAGAAATGTTGGGAGACAGGAATTGCACAGCAGACATACCATCTTTTAAACATTAACCTCATGCTTTTCCATGTACGTTTCCCATTAATTAAACAGGTGTAGCAATCAATGTCACCTCCTTGTTTCCTAGAGATCTCTGACGTAGCTTGTTAAGTCATTCCTTCAGGTGGGAATTTCCTGGTCCCTTCTGAATAATGGATGAGTGCAGTGCAGAGGTCTTAAGACACATTCAGAAGTTACAATATGTACATGTAATGAGCATAATTTACTTATAGCCTCCAGCACTATCTTCAATTAATGTGATAATGTTGACTACTTATAATACAGCTTTGCTAAGCTTGGGTGAAAAGAAACAAAGCTTGTCATTTATCAGACTTTAATTCATATTTAACTATGACCATAACTATACAAGTTAAACTACATATCAATAGGCAATAGTTCTATGTCTCTGTTTTTACTACAAATTACAGATACATTTGGGTCACTTGAAACAAAGTGACTAAACTTTTAGTAGATGACCACCAAAGAACTGAGTTCATACATGGAGTAGAAGATATTTAGTTATATATTTGGCATCACACTATATTCAAGGTGTAGTACCTGAAGCACAATTGACTAATATAGAGAAACATGTGAACTTCTCTAACACAGAACTGGAAAACCAAGAAAGGTTGTAATAGGAAGAACGATACTACAAGAAAAATAACCTGTAGAAAAAGAAGCAAGTGTAGAATTGACAATAAAACTTGTGAATAGCTCATGCCAAATGCTCTTGTTTATCCATCAACCGGACAAAGGTCACTTTGAAAATCCACATCAAAAAAACATTTTGGCAGGATTGAAGTAATGAAAAGAGAGGAAAACTTAAACACTTTAATATATACCTCAACAGACACTCTACTGGTGGAACAAAAGCCAAAGATGCAGTCTAATAAATCAATGTTCAATTTTTTCTCAATAATCATAGATAAAATATGGAACTTCTGAATCTTACGAACAACCTTGTTTGATGCCCACAATTCTGCAAGGTAGACTGTAACTTGTAAAACCCAAACTTGGATTGAAATGTGGTTTCCTTCCACTGTCAAAAAAACAAACTGATGAGTTGCTTCAGGGAAGTCTGTCCCTGGTTTGAGTGTATGCAAAGAACTGGCATCTCGTCCAGGGTGTACCCTGCTGTCTGCCCACTGCTACAGGTGCCTTGCAACGCAGTATTGGATGAGATGGTTAGAAAACAGATGGATGGATTAGCCAAGATTAAACTTTGTTTTTTTGCTGTGTAGTCAAACTTTAAATACAAACCCACCATTTACCCCCAGAGGGAACTGTTGAGCCTTTCTGACATCAGCTGGAGTTGCCTGTCATTTTCAAAGTAGTTAGGAAATGTTCAGTTTTGCAAAACAAAGCAAATGCATTAATGAACTTGATATTCTTATAGCCAATGTTTCAGTATAAGAGTTCCCAACTTTCTACCTTGTCTGTGGATTTTTGTCTCCAGGAACAGTTTACTGTACAGTATGTTGTTTTGACATCTAATGAGGGTATCATTCTTGCTTTGTCTTATACAAAATCACAATTAAGACCTCACCCAAATCATCTTCTTTATAAAAAGATAGCACAATGGCTGATACAAAATTTAAAATCTATAGTATATTAAAACTTGTAAAATGAAAAAAGGGCTTCTGTGTTGTTTGTGTGTGGGATATCACATTATTGACTAATATAATATAAGATACACAATGTTTTTTTTAATTTCTAGGGAAAGCGTTATTTTTATGCACACGGAATACACTACATTGCCTGAGAAACTTTTACGGGTCATTCCAGTTATGACATTTAAGTCTCAAGCGGCCTGAGGAAAAAAGCTTGCCGTGACGCATACTGCTCGATCAACACGAATACTCTGGTTGCCATCTCAATCCCTCAGCTCTACACGACAGAAACAGCACAGGAAAACTGCTGATCACAGATGTAAATAAGACTGGATATGTGCTGCTGTATCTAAGTTTCAGATAATTGTGAACGAAATGAAGAAGGATACATAAGGAGGCTACTGCAAAAGATACAATCTTTCTTATTGAGAAGCTTCACCAGAATTTAAAAATTTTAATGTCATCTTTGTAAAAATTATATTATAATTAAACATGTAGTAGTATGCTTGTTATGAATTTGTGTGTTCGTGCCTTTTCTTAAAACAGAGAAAAAGCAGTACATAACGGATGTAATTCCTGTGATGAACTGGTGTCCCATTTATGGGGACAAGGGGGAGTCATTAGTTCTCTGCTCTCCCGAGCACTATAAAAGCTAGGAGGAGCTCTTGCAAAATGAGTTAGAGCACTTCTGGTATCAACTTGTTTTGCTGCGCAAAGGGTGGCTGCTGAACATATTCTTGTCCCCCAGAACATAAAATCCAGGAGGTTTTATATTTCTGAACAACATCTGAAGCCCTCAATTTGTAAAAGCTTTGAGCAATTTCATTTAGACCACTACAACAGGTGATTGATTTACACAGTTTAGGCTAACAGCAATCCGGAATTAAAAGGCCAATACCGAGCAGCTGCCAAAGACCACACATGGCCATCTGTGACTTGACCGAAACACTGAATTGAGAATCCACATGTTCAAAGTCCTTACAAATTGCTGATTGAACAGGGAACTGCAAGGCCTCTGGCTTATGTAGTTGGTGTTAAACATGCAGCTATAGAGTTTGCAAAGGTTTCTGCAGTGCCTGTGCCCTCTAGTGGTTGCATTTGTTATTACATCTCAGTACCTGTTTGAGAGGAAAGCTTTTCCAGAAATGCCTTCAACACAAGTAGCACTCCACATCTCATGAAAACAGAGTCAAAGTCATGGAACTGTGATACCATAAATGATTTAAATGTCCTGTATTACTGCACTGCAAAAAACAATTGCTTAGCTTTAACAAACATCTGAGCTTAGCTTGACATATTTACTGGTTTTGTCCTGACATTCTCATGTTCATTTTCCATTAAATGCCACTCATGTTTCCGTTCCAATAGCATGTTTTTATTACAAAAAACAAATGAGTCTTGCAAGACTTAGCCATAATTCACTCATCACACCTAAAGTGGGTATAGGCATTTTAAACAGGCAAAAATTAAAGAGTTCCCATAAGAAAATGTTTTTCCAAAAAAATAACCTTTATATATAAAACACACAAAAAAGGAAAACTGGAGTGAAGGCAAACTCAAATCCAGAAAAAGGTGAGAATATGTCTCCTCTCTTCATACTTCAGGTCCTTCACCTCCAGGAATAAGCTGTAAAAAGACATTAAGTAAGGAAAGGCATACCAAAATGGTTTTCAAGCTGCAAAAAAGTAGCAGATCTAATTATTTCAAATTAAAAAATGCTTATGTACCATTAAAATGTACAAACATCTCAATGTGCTCTTAAGAAGCAGGACAAATTGTTTTTACATTTTTTTGTGTGCTTGATATTCACTTTTCATTCAGCAAGTTAAATCACTTCCATCAGCTGTGTTCAACCAACTCCCTCATTAAGAAGGTAGCTTAGTCCTCATGCAACATTTACAAGTCACTTAAATGTATCAGTCTGTCCAATTAATTAATATGATGCCAAAACTATTTAATCAATGTCCAAAATCCATCTGCTTTATCCTTCTAAAAACATAAATAAAATGGATGTTTAACAAAGTAAATTGCTGTTATAAAACATGGAACAACACCACATACTTTCTTCCTTAAAAAAAGATTACATTCAAATCTTTAATGTTTTAATGTTTTTAAGTTAACAACATCCAATACAAAAACACAAATAAGTGCAAGTAAGTAGGTATATCCAGCTTGACAGTGTTGTGGCCTGTCAATTGAGTTCAATTTTAAAGGAATCATTGCCTAAACTGTATAAATCACAAGAAAAGTATCACCATTAGGTTTTCCTTTATTAACACACTTACCATGGTGATGTTGTTTCCATTCAATAAGATCTGATCCAGTTTGGTTATCCTCCTTCCCTCTGGTGTGATCTCACTAAAAAACAAGGCTTCCTGAAATAAACTATGCTACTAATCGATAATCACTAATAGTACAGCCTTAAAATGAAAAGAAAACTAACACAAATAAACAACTTTGTACCCATAAGCAATTCACAAAAATCAAATTCTCTGAAATGAGAACACAAGCGATTTTAGTAATGAAAGGTATTTGTGAATTGTGTTAAGATGACACTATGAATTATTAATTGAAATTAATAATACAACATTGTTGTTGATTACATTTTTATTAAGATTATGATTTTTTTATATTTTATTTTGCTAATGTCTAAAGGCAATAAAGCTAGAAGTTATTAAAATAGTGTACTCCAGTTCTGTAAAAAAATTACAGTATGATCAAAATTTAACTCTTCAAATGCACGAGTCAAGATGTAAATAAAGTAACAGACTTTCTTATGTAAGAAAACAAATTGCAATTTGAATATGCATTAATTCAGTGCTCATTTTCATTGAGAAAATTAAAGATTTTTGCCTGTAACAATCTGAACATCATAACATTTCTTATTTTAGCATGAACAAAACAAAACCTTACAATTCAGTGACATCTTCAAGCACCATGTCTGAGAATGCAAGTAAAGGAAAGCATGTTTTACAAAGTTAAAACCATAAATTGTTATGTTTTTAGTTTTCAGCAATAGATTTAGTATTTTACATCTTATTATATTTTAACGTAAAACAATTCTCTTATAGACACTGCATTGTGCATAAGCTTTCGTAAAACATATGCCAAGTACAATCTTACTGCAAGAAGTTGAATTTTTATGATGTGACCTTGCTTCACTTTAATGGAATTTTATCTCAAGCAACACAATACGCGAATACTCCACCAGACTGTATATTTTTGTCATGATACAACCTGCCATTCCAAAGAAAAGCAAAGATTCTATTATTCACCAGTTTATGACCCATTTTGAATTACAAAATGTGTCTGTATCTGGTAAATAAGGTTTTCTTGAATGTGCAATCTTGAAATCAATGCTGAAAAAAAGACAACATATTGAACAACCAACTAGCTCCATTACTTATTACTATTGATCAAAACTGTTAGTCTTAACTTCACATGTGATGATATACAACATCCATATTACTGTAAAAAGGATACTGACAAAGTCATCAAATCCCAACAGAGTGCCGACAATCTCCTTGTCGTTCTTCATCACAATATGAATCCGGGAACCAATACATTTGTCCACAAGCTCTAAAGAAGATAACGGGAGGGGAGAGGAGAGAACAAGGAATACTGTGATAAGATTTCAGCTGTTTCATAGAACTTAGCCACATCTGCTGACACTTCTAGGATACTGTAATGGTAAGTTACCCTTGTTATATAAAAACATCAGAATGACACAGGAGAAATCACTAGAACTGATTACTTCACAGACACAAATATAAATTAAGCGGACATTTTTAGACAGCAGCAGTGCTCATGAACAGACTTCAAGGATACGGGGGGTTAAACATATTCGAAACAAGTAACATGATCAAAGAATAAACTGCTCCGAAAACAAGTTCATTGGATATCATCGACCTCATTAGCAAAATAAATGACATTTTTTTCTTCTAAAATAGGAAAATTATATAAAAAAATGGATTTTCCTCTGCTCACGATAAATACAATGTTTTAATGATGTAAGTCGACACAATCGAGGAAGTTATTGCTGTAACACACAGCGTGAGACGGCAAAGAATAACCATACAATATGATGTGGAATTGTTTCATCTACAAGAAAATAATAATAATCCACAACTTCGTGCGGAAGCTTGGAGTGTTAGAGACGCTGATGCCGTGTACACATATTACACATTGGCATATTACACATTTATTACAGTAAATGCCCTGCTTTATAAACAGATCCATTGCACCATGGAAATGATCGTTTGTTCCCTACTGCCTTATCTGGTTAATTAATAACATGACTAGATGGACATAGCTAGGTATAATTTCACATTAGCGAACATAAACCGTCAACGAACGCTTCTACTTTTTTTTTGTTCTTTCTTACTTTTTGGGAAATATTCGGCTAAACACTACAGCAAAGATTGAGACAGTACCGTGTTTGGACTGTTTAGAAATGGGCCAAGTCGTAAACAAAAATTAGTAATTTACAGGAAAGTTGCGTATAGACAAACTTAGCATTACAGTGCAATGAGGGACAGATACATAACTGCAACTCAATACTTCAATTCATAATTCAAAAAGAACAAAAACGAACGATTGGGTTAATTCACGGACCACCTGCACGTCCTTATTAAAACCGGCCAGTTGGCAGTCTTAGGCTATAGACGCTTGTGGTATATTTTTTAGATTGTAAAATGTACACCACCGACGGTACTACGTAGGCAGGTCTTAGTAATTCAACAACTTCGCGTTAAAATGTTTTGCTTCACGTTTAATTCACATACCAAGCGGGAGCAATTGTGAAGGGTTTGTAGCCGGAGCCGCCGCCATGTTTGAAGGAAGGTAGACTCGACCAATCGAAGAAAACTTCAACGTGCAAATCAGACAGAAACAATCGACACCCGACCGTCACCTAATGTATATTAGAAAACAGAGCGGTGTGATGTTCTTCTGCTCGCACGAGAACCAGCTCAAGTTTTCAAGTTTGTTGTCATTACACTCATATACATGGTATATGGTATAACGAAATGCTATTTAGCTAGCTCTCGGAAATAAATAGTACAAAGAGAAAAAAACAACAACAGGCAATGTGCAAAAAACAACAACAGGCAATGTGCAAAAAACAACAACAGGCAATGTGCAAAATAACAAAAGGGTAACAGGTTATGTGCAAAAATATGCATCAACAGAATAAAAGGGATAGAAATGATGGGGAGTGAGCTTTTGACATGTATGGTAGAGGTAGATTTTCAATGTGTGTTTGGATTTTTGGTAAGAAAGAAAGGAAGAAGGCACTGTGAGGTTCAGATCACAGGTGAGAGTGAGAGTGAGAGTGAGGGAGGCTGGGAATTTAACTATAGAGGAGCTTCAAAATAATTAACTTCACCGAATAGTGTACCTCAAAGCCTTTTTCCAACTGGCGTGTAAACATCCAATCTTTTAGACGAATTCAAAACATTGGACCGCGGCGTTTGATTAAGTTGACAGTATTAATAAGTATTCTCATGACTGTAGTTCAGGTGGGTAGCTGCGTCAGCATGCGTAGGCTGCAAAGGAACAAGTAATAGGTTTATTCCATGCTGAAAAAAAGAAGAAAGAGAACACAGCGTTTCGGCCACACCTGAAGAAGGCTCCACGGCCGAAACGCTGTGTTCTCTTTCTTCTTTTTTTCAGCATGGAATAAACCTATTACTTGTTCCTTCTCATGACTGTTTCCAGTATTTTTTCCGTTGTTTTAATACCTAGCGAAGACTGCTCAGGCCTCTGCCAAATGACGAATCGTGGTGTGCTTAATCACTGTACGTTTGTTATCTATAATGTCAGGCGATGCGTGTGCGCCCACGGTATGAGCGAATTAAAACGACCAGGTACTTCTGACCATGTGAAACGGGGAGAGTGTTCGCGTGTGGCGCAGTACGTGTACACCGCTACGGCAGCGGCCAGGTGTGCGGCGAGGCTGGACGCGCCAGTTCCGCCTGCGGCCGTGCGGGGGCGCTGCGGGGCGGAGCGGCTCCCCTGACGTCACCCGCAAGGCGGAAGCGAAGCCGCTGGTGGCGGAGAGAGGCGGCCATCAACACCGGCGAGCAGGAGCCCCGCAGGTTCAGATCCCGGCGAGAGTCCGTCTGCGGCTTCCCTACAGCGTCCGTTCGCGGCCGGCATATCCGCGGGGGTGGGGTGGGCAGCCATGGAGCCTCATGGGAGAGAGGAGCCCAGGGGCCCCGTGCTGCACATAGTGGTTGTTGGCTTTCATCACAAGAAAGGCTGCCAGGTGAGATGCGGTGAGACAGACTGAGAGGCGGTAAGGCACTGGGAGCCGCACGTTGGGGGAAAATGTTTCCCTGCCGCTGGCGGAGGCGCTTTTGACCACTGCAAAAGCCCGGAGTATGTTCTGGAAAACGCGACGGGGCGCCTTTCCTGCTGGTTGTGTTTTCTCGTTTGCCTGTGGTGGGTGGGGAGTGAGGGCTTGAGTCAGTGTCAGCCGACAGAAATACAGCAACACTGTTTGGAAAGGGGGTGTGGGACTCAGATCGGACCTCGCATCCACAGCAGCGCGATTCGCCCAGCCCGGGTGACAAACTGCTTTCTCAACCGTGCGAGACAGCCCATTTTAAAGCCTGCCTGCGATTATCGCTGATTGCAGATAAAAAAAAAATGCAATACTTCCAGGTCCGTGAACGATCGTGCGCGTTTATGGCTCGTTTAGCAGAGAATTGGATATGTGCATTCAACAAGGAACCTTCTGTTGCATAAAGCCAGCCGATGGCTAAATTCAGCATCTTGTGTTTGCAGAGATTGCTTCACTAATGCGGAGCACTGATGTTCTCACATATGAAGAAATCAGTCCTCTATCAGATAAACGGCCGTTTTTCGTGTTCCCGGACATACTGTAGGTCAAAGATTGTGTGTATTTTCCTTTGCTGTACGTAATATCTCAGGTTCCACAAATAATACTAGAGAGCCCCTAAAACAGCTTCTTACAGATAGGCCTGTGCTCTGTAGGGTTTTTTGAAGGCAAATACTTTGTTTAGTCTAGTTATCCGCGGTCTGTTTTCAGTTAGACGTATCTAATTAATTTATCGGTGTTGTCACCACACCACACGACTGCAGAAGCTGTCCTTTCCCCTCGCCTATGTCTAGGCTGCACTGTGATATAGCTGTAAGGGTAGGGCTTCAAAGTTTCGGGCTCAGATCTCAGCAGGGGTCCCAGTGTTGTTCCCCTGAGAACCGTACTTGTCCTGTAAAGTCCCCAGCTGTAATGGGTAGAAACGTCAAGTCCACCTCAGTGTCGAAGAAGGGTCTTTTTGAAAAATCGCCTCCACCGTTTTCTGCAGTACGGAGTGTAAACTGTTTTCAGGATAGGGGAATGGCACTAGCGGAACAGAGTGTGCTTTCATGATGATAAGTCTGACGGAGAAAGTATTAGGTAAGAGGAATATGAAACATCCAGCAAGCTTTTGTAGAAAGACTGCATATTGACACTGACATGTTAGCAGTAGTGTCAGAAAATCCTCTGAGCGCCCTTGTGGTCAGGCCAATTAAAGCCGTGTACTGTGCGAAAGCGCTGATCTAGGCAGCTGAGGGTGTTTCTCTGTGGAGATCAAATTCTATTGTACTCCGTTAGGATCTTGTGAATGGCGATGGGGAAACAAATTACAGAACAATTGCAAAAATATAGAGAACAGTTTCTGATACACTTAGCTCAGAGTAGATTGCAAAACGTTAGAACTATGTGCAATACGTATGAGTGTATGGATGTTGGGAATTGTGAAAGTGCCAGAGATAAGTCATATTCAGAGCTACTGCTTGCTCCTAAAAACACCAGGACCTGAGGGGTGTCCCTTGTATGTGTGTGCATGTAGATGCTTAAACTTTGCTTAACCGTTTTTATGCTCTTGGGTATAATATCGTGTAAGGTCACTTATTTGCTGGGATGAAAATCAACTTTCAAATGCAGGACAATGCTGCTATAAACTAGACAGTATCTCTTAAACATTTCACTGATGGGTGCCCAATTAAGCTGAAAGTGATTGTGGTCTTTCACTAACAGTTGATAAAGGATCCCTGAAAAGCTCAGGTGCTGCTTGCAGTAACCTGACACTCTCCAAGTTGTTTCCATGTGAATTTGAATGCCACCTGAAGTATACATTTCACTCACCAGTCCACCATGTTTCTGTAAAGCTGTTTGACAGCACTCAGTAGCAGGCTGTAGACGTGGGCAAGGCTCAGCTGAATTGTAAAACATTTGCAAACTGGGCACAGCACATCAGGTTTTCCTCCTTGGTGAGCTGGAGGGAGCTCACAGCGGGTTTTGTTTCAGCAGGGAAAGGACTGACAACGGCTTATCTGTGGCTTCAGCCTGGGAGAGCAGGGGACGTACATCTTTCTGACCACTGCAGGCTTGGAAAAATCAAATGTCTTGCAGATCAAATGCAGTTTGAGATAATTTGGCTTCTGTTTGTTTGTCAAGTAATTGTCAATTCTAACAAAATTGTGGACACAGACTATCAATTAGAAATAACTGGCCTCGGTGTAACAAGTAACTTGGTAAACACAGTTCTTTGACATGTAATTTCTGCCTTAGATAATCTCACACCACTAAAATTAGAACTACCTCTTTATATGCAGTAGGTTGCTGTGGGACTTATACATATCTATGCCTATATATGCTCTAGAGAACCATAACAAATGATCAAGGAACAAGTTATAGGTGTATTCCATGCTGAAAAGAGAAGAAAGAAAACACAACGTTTTGGCCGTGGAGCCTTCTTCAGGTGTGAGTAAGACTGTTGGTAGGGATATAAGGTGACAAAATACTGTGGTGATGATACAGACTTAAATACTTCTCACTGAGAGGAAGAAAGATTCACTTCCAAAATGAAATCAGATCTTTGATAATCTGTGTCTCTGTTACCGCATCAACATAGTAATTCTGTTTTATGCAGTCCAAGACCTGTACTGTATCATTATTTGATTAAATGTTTGTTTTTTAATTTTGAACTAAGTAAAAATCGCGGAAGACTGTACTACAGCATCATGACCACTTTGTGAGCTGATCTCATCAGAAACTGGGAATTTAGCAGTTCTTGCCCCAGTCAGTACTGGGTACGGAGGCCACTTGGGGAAAATCAGTTTGTGGCTATAAGTGGTGATTGATATTTCTGTTGATGAGATGCAGTTCTGTGGATGAGATATTAAACCGAAGCCCTGAGTGTTGGGTGAATAATCTCCTGGCACTCTCACTGTGTAGGTGCTGTGGTGTCCTGGCTGATTTCCACCTGGGATCTTACACAATCTAGTCTGTCCAAAGTTCTCACTTAAAGTTTCAGTTTCTCACTTTGCCACCTGCGGTTCGTGTAGTAGTGTTGCTGCTAGCCCAGCATAACTTCCACTCAGGTGCCTCAGTTCAGTGGTGGAAATGGGTCCTCTCCTGTATATAAAGCGCCTTTCGATATATAGCACTTTTTATATAAATGCAAGGAATTATTGATATGAACAGAACCAAGCCCCATCATTAAATCCTTGTAACTTACGTGTGCTTTGGGTGAAAATTTCAAGCAAAAAGCAGTTCAGAAATCATCTATATGTGTCTGTGCATATAGTATACATAGTAGGTTTAAGAGCGTCATCAAAGCAGACAAGAAGCAGTGAAGCACCTTTTAGGGCTGTTCTGTCATAATCCCACGGATGGGAGCTTCACACCACTGGCTCCTCAGCCAAGCACACACACACTTAATGTCTGATCCCACGGTTCCCTCTCATAGTGAGCTGGATTACTGTTGCATCAACACATGATTAGCAATTAAACTAACCTGTCTCAGGGCAGTCTAAACCCTGCACGCTTGTTTTCAGCTGCTGGTTGTAGTTGTACAATACCGAGCAAATGGCACGAAGATCTATTTTCTGTTTGATTACTAAAGATCTATAAATTGCTGAAGTTTTCTTTGATTGCGTTTTTGCTTTTGGAAATGCATTGATCCAGAATGCTGTGATGCTGCTGTGACAGGTATATCACTTGTGAGATATCTTGGATATACTGTACACCTTAGTTGTTTGCCTTCCCCGTTGTCTTAAAGGTAGACTCCTGTGACACTACTCTAATTTGAATAGTTTTAACCATCATGGGGTGCGATCTTTTCAGAGCTGTTTGGCACATTTCTCGAGATTGTTAAGTCTTGTGGATCAATGAATGGAACTTACTCTGAACACAGTTATCTTATATAACTTAAGCGTTTCTACCAGTTTATATTTAATCTGTTTGCTGCATTTGACAGTGCAGTATTTTAGCAGGTTCGGTAATTGTCACTTTATTTTATTGATCTTTTTATTGTGAAATTGAGAAGCTTTATAATAGCAACAAATGCCGTTGGTTCCAGTAATGATTTGGTGTTTTTAAAACCTCTTAATATATATATATACACGCACACACTGTGGAGTGCCATAAATAAAAAATCTGTCAGGTGGCGATGTGATCTAATACAAAACAGAAATTATTTGTGATAATCTGATAATCTCTAAAAGTATAGCTCTAGGATTTCAGGCTCTCTGACGACATTTTTTCTTTGAATATTATGTGCAACGGAGAATTTAATTTGTATTAACTCTCATGTGGAATTTAAAGTGCGATGGCTCGGGTCGATTGGATAGCGGATCAAACCACGAGGAGAGCCGTCTTTGTTGACGGGGCACTGTAATCGTCCTCATCAGAGAAGAGGTTTTACCGGTTACCTGATAGCAGCCCAGTGAGTGACCTTGTCCATTGTATAAGAGGAGCCAGTGCTTCTCCACATTCCAGCTGCTGGCCTCACAGGCAGCCAGGCTTGAAGGTGCAGGTAGAATAGAGAAATGAGCTGAGGTCACACAGCGGGCATCTGGGGGACGATGTCGTTATTGTCTGCAGTGCTTCAGTTCAAAGGGGGGAGGGCTCATCTCTTTGCCCGTGCAGCCGGTTTCTCTTAACTTACGAAGAGGTAGTGTAGCTTCACAAGTGGTCTCCGAAATACAGTTCCTGTTTCACGCAGATTCAATGACCCAAGAGAGGTCACGGAGGGTTGGAAGTCATTCAACCTGCTGGTGGCTAATCGAACCAAGGATCTCGTCCAGCTCTTCACTGAAAGAGCCCAGGGAACCAGCTGCGACAATGGACTTCCATGTCCATTTGTGCCAAGAAAGTAGCCCCTTTTCTCAGTTTTAAGTGTCCTTTAAGTTGTCGTGTCCTCCCCAACTTTGCCAGTGCCTTTGATGCTTTTGAGTTCTTGGGTTCGCCCTTGCAGTCTCTGTTCAAGATGAAGAAGATGCAGTTCTGTCATCCTGCCAGGGTAGGATGCCCCTCTTCTCTTGATGGATTCCAGATCTGTAATCATGTTTTTAATTAAACCGGTTACCAAAATCGAAATGCTGCTTTGTCAGTTGTTGAATCAGGTTGTTTAAGCCGGTAACCTGTTGGTTTAGCTGTGGTTAAACCTAAGTAAAAGCTGAGTTGGAGTCAGTAAGCCCACAACCCACTGGCTTTCCAGGTCCAGCACTGGACACTGCTTCGTAACCCTTATGGACTCTTCTCAGGACTGACTCCATGAGTTTTTTATTTCATTACACATTTATAAAAGTTATTTCTGAATTTATAATCATTATGACAAGAATCTTTTCTTAGAGGTGTAAAGCAGGCAGTGTGGAGAGAGTGAGGGATCAGGGTAGTTTAGAAGGCACCCTGTGCAGAAGGGACTTTCCCAGATGGAAGGAATATTTCACAGTCTGTGTCATGATCATTACATGTCCGTTCTTCAGCTTTTCTTTGGAAGGGAATGGAATATTGAAATGTATTCTTTATAATAACAGTGGGCATGTAAGGAAATTATAAAACTCCTAGTGTTGTGCAGACCATAATAAAGCATGACATTTTAGTCATCCACCTATTCCTAATGTGGTCTAAATCTAGGATTTTGCACTTTGCCTTTGTGATGAACTGGTACTTACTCTAGCCATTTTAATTACTGACACTGAAACATCAGTTGTACAAAATAAGACAAAGCCTGTACTGTATTTACCATTAAATAAGGTTTACTAAAGAGTTTATTGTATTTTGTGGCAATTTCAGAATTCCTAAACAGCATTGGCAATGGTAACTGAATGTGATTTAGTAAAATCGCATGGGTCAAAAGTACCTTTTTCTGCTTTAACCCTTTAATGGATTTAAGAGCAACCTCTGTGTTTAATCTGCTAGTGTCACATGCTAAGTTTGCACTCATGCCACTTGGTTTCTCAGGTTGAGTTTTCCTATCCACCTCTGATCCCAGAAGAGGGCCATGACAGCAGCAGTTTGCCTGAAGAGTGGAAGTATCTCCCATTCTTAGCATTGCCTGATGGAGCCCACAATTACCAAGAAGGTAAGAAGTCTGTGAAATGCAGTTTAAAGATACAGGGCAAGATAAAAGCTTCTCAACATTTAAAACTCCTGCATATGATGTATATTCTAGATTTTCTGTGACTGATCTTGCTTCTTTTAGCATTTGCAAATTATTGCGTTTAATAGAACTGGGTACATCTCTCCCTGTGGTATGTTTATGCAAATAATGACATGGAGTGTGTTTGAGATATGAGGAGATATCTGCACGGCTCTCTCAAGTCTGACAGTTAGACTTCTTTCATATACTGTCGTTTTGCTGTGATAAAGTTTTTCATGTGGGGTTCAAGGGTTGGTAAAGGAATATTTTAATGTTCTCTGTTAAAATCAGTATCTTCCATGGGATTTTTCATTGCATAAATGCCACAGTAGAAAATAATTAACATTTAACTGTGAGGTGATATCCTGGGCTACTTAGAAGTTATCCGATAAATACAAGAATTAAGTAAAAAATAAATAATTCTCAGTAAAACAAATGTACATATTAGAAGTGCAGTGGCTTTGTGCTGTCAATGTCAGTAGGAACACTGCCCGTAGGTAAGGAGTCGTTGATTACAGTAAAGAAGGAATGAGCTGTTGAGTAAAGTGCAGTATCGGTTATCGATTGGTGATAGAAGTTCATGGAACTGTGAGAGAAATCACAGATGCTGTTTAAGACAGATGGGTATTGTAGAGCTGCACACTTTATTTTATGAAAGATATAAGTTTATCTTAAAGTGTTTCTCTGTTTGCAGACACTATCTATTTTCACTTACCTCCTCGAAGTGGTGACAGGAAATGTGTTTATGGTGTATCCTGCTACCGGCAGATAGAGGCCAAGGTTAGTTCCTACTCAGGTTTAGAGTTTTCTGTGTTCCTATGTCGTTTAATTTCTTTGAATTTCTTTTTTTTAAAGTTAGTTAGGAAAACGTCCTGTATTGTTAACATTGCCCAGCAGGAAAGTGGGAAAATGTGGGTATGCTACAGTGGTGTGCAATCGTATATGACGTTGTGTTCCCTGCTTTTTTAATTGCTTTGTCGACATGAATACAGTTATGAATGTAAAATACAATTGGTTTTTTTTTTAAAACAAATTCAGATTTTTTTTTCTCATATTCTATAGGCCCTGAAGGTTCGTCAGGCAGATATCACCAGAGAAACGGTTCAGAAGAGCGTGTGTGTTCTTAGCAGACTGGTAAGTCACAAGACGAACGTATTGCTGTTGTTGGTCAGCCAGATATTTGGATGGTCGGGCTTATTCAGTGAAAAAGCATACGTCTCTGGGAAAGCCAGTCTGTAGGAGAGAAAAAAAGAGAGGTAGCAATGAAATACTAGATAGTTACTTCGACAAATTCCTGGTTCAAAGCAACGAAAGGGAATCATGTTCACATGGCTGCAGAATATCTTAATATATGCAGTTAACTCCTTGAGCTAGAGTGCGAGATACAACAGATCTCAGTGGTGGCTGTAACGAGCTGTGTGTGACATTTTAATCATCTGCCTGTGCCATCTTGCTGTTTTTCCAAGCAATCATTTATTTGTGGTGATAGTTTTGCTGTTTGAATGTTTCTCTCTTGTTTTGTCTTGCCCATGTTGTGCCCAGCTGGCTGTGTGTTCTGGCAAACCATAACACTGCAGTTGGTTTTGGATTGACCGTACAAAACTGATTGCAGAGGAGAGTGCTGAGAAAGCAAATTAGCATTGCGAGATGCTGTGTCAGCCATTGAAGCAGCATTCAGCTCAACGTTTCAGCACTTTCTTGGGCCTTGCTCTTTTACTCAGAAGCTTTTTCTGTAGCATTTAACATGAAACATTAAAGCAGAAATGAACATGACATCACGCTGAATTCATACAATATCATATTTAGCACAAAATACATTATTTAAGAGGAAAATGCAAGCTGTTGCCGATGAACTAGTCCTTTCCATTTTCAAATATAAAAAAAGGTCTCTCAGATGTCTTTTGTGCTGTAGTGAGATGAGCTGAATGAAAGTAGATATTTTAAGAAAGGAGTGACAGTAAGTGTCAGTTCTGGAATTTACATTAAAGAAAAAGGTCATTTTGTTAAAGATGTTTGTGATTTTTTTTTTAAATCCTTAAATACAAAGCAGTATTTTTAAACAAATTCATAGCGCCCTTTTGCTGGCAATAAAGCATTTCCCTGTCGGGCAACAGATTTGAGATGTTTATTTTAGTGATCCTCATAATCCATAATGGTATTTGGAGTGTTAGTATCTACTAAAGATCGATTTGGACAAGCTGGTACCTTTAATTAAAACAATGCTAAAATAGTATAAAGTCACCAAAAAAATGCAATTGCTTTCTAGGACAGTTTCCCAAACTGTGTTTATAAAGTATAGATCTGGAGCTCTATGTGACATTGAACTACGTATTGTAATTGAATTTGTTTAAATAAGTCTCCTTTTCAGATTAAAAGTCTAGTCAAACAATTGAAGTCTAATGAAAAATGTGGTCTATGTTTCAGTTTGGGTTAAATGCTATTTCTTGCGATAATAGTGTTAATTATTCTTAAAAGGTTTGGTGTGCCAGAAAATATTTGGAAGGCGAAATGTTTGTTGTGAGCTGCATTCTGCAGTTTTGAAAAATAAAATTCCCTGAGTATTTTTCTTGAAAACTGTGCGGTTTCATGCAACACCTGAATGACAGCCCTTTCTTTTCTCCAGCCATTATATGGGTTACTACAAGCCAAGCTGCAGCTCATCACCCACGCCTACTTTGAAGAAAAAGACTTTTCTCAGATATCTATTTTAAAGGTGAGTGCCTTAATGAGTTTTAACCTGTGTCTAGGATCTAAAACTCTCCTAAAGATTAGATATGGGCCGAGTCTTTCTGCGGTGTCCAAGATGATTCATTATTTTTCTTTTCCTCCCTTCCAGAATTACTTGATAAGTTGGTAGTTGCACAATTAGAGACTTCTTGTACTATCTCTAAGAAGTTTGGAGATCGTAGTTAGGTTATAGGTTTTTATTCTTCTCCTGTTCCTCATAGTTTTATCGTATAAGTATATTTGTGAATACCAAAATATTTTAAAATTCATTTTAATGTCTTTTATTAGTTACACTTAACTTGTTAGATATATAATTTATAGTTAACATAAAACCTGTTTATAAAATTTACAGAAACAGCTGAATGGCTTATTTATAACCAGACTATGTACATTCTTTTTTTTTTATTATTGCTGCTCACAAAATAGCTTTTCCAACACTTTTAAATTAAGGTTTTGTGTTAACATATTTGCTTATGTTTAATCTTTAAATAATTCACATGAAGCAGCTTTCATTTTAGAATATACATAAGTTAGCACTTTACATGGAGCAGTTTCCAAAAAGAGGGTAAAATGGTTAGGCTCCGAGTATGGCTAGCCATGACTGTCTGATTTGGTCTGCCTGGAATGGGCAGCTTTTTAACCACTCTGCTTAAGCAAATTTTCAAATAAAGGTGCGTTTGCAAATTTAACATTTAACTTTAATTTTTTGTTGAAATAAATGATATTTATATTGAGTTTTTCAGTTTTTTTCATAACACAATTTTCTTATTTATTATGCACCATATAATTAAGAATATTGTGGCTGGTGATGATAAATTCAAATGAAAGCAGCAGGACTGAGGCTGGTGCTCTTTCAACCTGTTTTTATCTACTATCAGTAGCAGTAGTTAAGTTTGAGGCATTGTTACTTTAGTATTTAATATATTAGCAAAACTTTTTTAAAGACAATTGAAATTAACATTTGGTACAGATAGCTGCTGGATCATTTCCATTGCTGTGTTATTCACCGTTAATACAATGCCTTCCACAATTGAATGAAAATTGAGTTTTGGCGGTTTCACTGGCCCAACTTGTTGAACTGGTATGGGATTAGGGAGTGGCAGTGAATTTTGAATTAATAGAAAGTGTTCCACCTGTTGGCCTTACAGTATTCTTTTACAAGTATTATTATTACATGTAATAATGGTTGGCAGAATGTTGTTTAAAATGACTGTGTTCAAAGCTGTTTATTTTAAGGAGCAGCCCAGGGATCTGTTTAGGGGAGTTAGTGTGTCTTTTAGCAATAGTATTGTGTCCTAGGCAATTGTATTGCCTGTATAAAGTAGGTTTTTACAACTCTGAAGCTGTGGAGTGACCCATTTTTCATGTGATATTTCTACTACAGCAGCTCCTCATGTTTGTGATTTTGTGCAGGCTGTTAATTTCTTCTTTATGTGCATTTCAGTCATTATGGGCTTGCATATGAGGTTCTCATAGTGCATCAAGAAAAAAATGTTCCCAGAATGTGCCTTGCAAACCAATGTCAACACAGGCAGCTCAGTTTACAGCTGTACAGCCTCGTTCGGAAGTGATCGTTTCTTGACTTCAGTCTTCCTTTTCATGGCAGGAGCTGTATGAACACATGAATGGCTCTTTGGGGGGGACAGCCCTGGAGGGATCCCAGGTGTATCTCGGTAAGCTCATCTCTTTCATACGAACCACTTGCCTGACAAGAGCCTCGTCCTGCATGACAGTGGGGGGGGGGCGGTGTTCAGGGGACCTGGATCTGACAAACATGTCTCCGTTACGTTTTGTCATTTGTATTTCAGTGGCCGTTTGAGACATTGATCTGAAATACAATCAGCTGTCCCGCTGACAAAAAAAAAGTTAAGATTTCAGCGTGTACATTATGTGTTGCCCCCTTCTCTTAACTGTTTTTCATTGCGTCTGTTAATTCTTGTTTAGCTTTTATACGTTACATACAGAACGTCCTGAGATGGTAAATTAGACAGAATGATTACTTTTGCTTTATTGTAAAATGTGTATACAGTGCATGATGATGATACTTTTATTAAATTCATGTGCTACAAAGAAAATGGTGGCATTTCGCATTTAAAACCAGCTGCTGTCCCTAGAAAAGTATTACTGTCCCTAGAGCTGCCCAGTTTGTTTATTTACTAGAAATACATGCTGCAAACAACTCAGTGTTTCTATAAATAATTCCTTATCTTCTTTTTAGCGTTGAAAAACACCCACGTCATGCAAGACTGTAAATCGATTCTGAGAAATAATTTCTAGAGGAGCTGTCATGAATAAATCTAATCTGCAGACTACAAATTCCTGCTATTGGGGTCATAGCAACCCAGAGCCTATCCCAGAAACATAGGGCACCATGCGGGGTTACGCCCTAAATGGGACATCAGCCCATCACAGGGTATGCAGACAGTGACAATACAGAGACAATTTTTCATGGGTTTAGAAAAAAAACTCTGTGTGTGATCTATCCTGGTTTTGAATTAATTCATTTTCACAAATACACAGATCCATTTACAGTGCTTCTAGAATTGTCTATGTTTAGAGCAGAAAAGTATCTAGTTAGGGAATAAATACTAACTCACATGAATGCAGTTTAAAAAATGAAGGAGAACGTTTATGTAGAATGGTTTGGATCGAATAATGTGAAAACTTGAAAATGCTGTAATAAAGTGGACAAAAGCAAAGCTATATTACATGAATTCTTTTGTCATATCCAGAAAATGGGACAGTGGTAAAGCACAAAAATATAACATAGGTGGAAGGCAGAGGAATAGATAAGCTGTGGCTGAATAAGTAGCTCAAGTGCTTGAATATCAAACCCAAAAGTTCTGTAATATAGAAACTTTAGACTATTGTCAAATAGTCTCACTGACTCATGATTCACAACGTGACTGGACAGTTTGTTTCATACACCCACAAACGTTTGTGCAGACAGGTGTCTCCTGATCTCAATACAAAATCTAAGTAAATTTACATAATGATCTATTCCTGACACCTCTTGTAGAGATACAGTTTGGAGTTGGATCCTCAGTATTTTTTTAGAATCCTAAATATAATCAAAATAGACTTTTTCTGCCTATATTATTAAATACTTTTAAATTTGTACATTTAAATGTTTTTTTTTAAGTCTTTCAAATATTATTTTATTCTTGTATTTATTATACTATGTGGACTAGTACTGAAGCACCTTGGTATGATACATCAGTGTCTTTGTGTTGTCCTAATTCCATTCCTTTAAAACATCTTCACCTTTTCCATTGGTACCACAAAACCTAGCACTGTGCAGGTAAACAGAGTGTGTGAAGATTTCCCCTTACACAAAGTTTAAGACAACAGCCATCACATCATATAGAAGGTTACAAACTAGAAACATTTTTCTATTAAGATAGGTTCTCTGTGTAGTACAGATCGCTATACTGTACGGTAGATTGATTTAGCGCTTGTGGGATATTACGCTGTTCTGCTTTTTTTTTCTATTTATGTTTAATTGTGTCACCAAATGCATGTAGGTCTGCACATTATAACTGCACCACCGTGTGATTTTAAAACTTACTTTTATAGTTATCATTTTACACAATACAACACAAAAGTCCTTTATTGATCTTTCATAGTAATAAAGCATTTTGGTGCTGCCAAAAGGATTTTCTATGTCTTTATTTCATCGGAGGCCTGTGTTGAAAGATGTAGTCTATGCTTCAAAACAGAACCAATAATTAATTTTCTCTGCAGTTCCTTCTGTCTCATTTGTGAAAAAACAATGAAGCCTTTTCTGATTGTCTCGTGTCTGGCCGCCATTTTTGGTCTGGCTTGGTTCTGTCACTCTGTTTCCATGCCTACCGATGTGTGAGGCCTACATACCATATGCAACCTAAGGTAAATAAACCTAAGGAAACATTGAGAGCTGATTTTCCTCTCATTCACTTCACTTGTAATAACTCTCATTTCTGTAAATTAATGAAGGAATTTTATTCCCAGTTGATCACCTCTGCTTCTGGTACACAGTTCCATATTTCAGCGGTCTGTTTCAATATGCCTATGCAAAAATAATGCACTCCGAAAGCACAGGACCTATGACTGTTTGCATTGCATTTTTTACTCACGTTATGTGACAACATGTGTTTCATGTTTTAAATTCTTTTCTATTTAGGTTTGTCTCCTAGAGACCTGATACTTCAATTCCGACACAAGGTAATATTGCTTTTTAATTAATATTTATGCCACTTTAGTGAGTAGTGTTAAAAGGGAGCCAATATAAACAAGGCTTATTATGTGGAGGAAGTCCAACTGTTAAGAACATTATGCTGTGATTCATTGATTCATTACGTGGATCATATTTATCAAAATGAGAACATCTTATCATTTGTAGAAATAAAATTTAGAATTGTAAACAAGTTTGTAAAGTTAAGAATATTAGTTTTATTATTCTTAATTCTAAACTGCACCACTCCACTCCAGAACATCCTCAGTTATAAAACACATTTTGTATATAATATGCCTGGTGTATGTCCCCCTGTTTCCAAATTTATTAATAAAACAAAGCTGTATAGAAAATGTTACATGTACAGTATGTGCTATAAGTGGTGTAATGATTGCTGTAATGCTCATACTATGTAATATGTGATTGATGGACCCTTTTGCATCTCCAAGAAACTTGGAGATTGCTATGTAATTATCAATACTTGATATTCAAATGAAAAATAACTTAGTTTGAAACAGAAAACCATAAACATCCAAGAAAGTCTGGAGGCTGTTTCTGTTCTTTCTTTGTGGATTTTCCATTTTTCTTATTAAACCATGAGATTTGGGATTTGGGATTAGGGATTCCCCTAGTTTTGTATATGAATGACTGGAAAAGTATTATTTTCTGTCATTACTGTTTAACTGTTGCAGAGAGGTCATTTTCCGTTAAGACTCATAAAAGTGGCAACACAGATTTCAGCCCAGTCCGCAAGCTTCATTAAATAGCATGCAGTATTGATTAACTATTTTGTAATAAAATGTTGAACTAGCTCTTCATTAGAGCTTGCTTTCATTGGTGCACTGTGCATTTACTTAACACCTGTATGTTGTTAGACTGTACTGCGTTGACCTTTTTGTTATAGGAAGTGGCTGGCCAATTTATTTGATTGACTTACATGGCCAAGCGAATTTCGGGCAAGACGCCGTCTCATTCTATGTCATCACAAAATGGCGACCTGCTCTGTTTAAAGTTTGGTCCACACACTGTCCTTCATTCCACCCTGCTTTAATTTTATCTGGCCTGTTTGCTGTGGCGTCACTGTGCATTTATGGGAATAAATTCCGATAAATCCTGTTGGACCTTGCTGTTGAAGTGTTCCTTATTTGATAGGTCATGTGCTAACTTGTAAATTGAAAAAAAATGCTGGAGTGTGTGGCTTATGTGTGGGATGCAGTTCTTTAGGACTGCTACATCCATGTATCGATGTTGAAAGGGCATTCTAGGCATTCCAAATATTTTTTGCAGGTGATAAAAAGGCTTTAAAATGTTTAGATTTATTAATATTGACTTTTAATTAATAGTTGCTAACCACATTTTCACCTTTTATGTACAGGTCTTAATTCTTTTTAAGTTGATTCTGTTGGAGAAAAAGGTAAGAAAAATATGCATTGCCTTTGTGCATAAACACCAATGTGCAATATGCATTGTTTTTATATACGGTATACAAGTATGAAACAGTAAACAATGTATAGTAAAGCACGTAATAATATTAGCATGATTTGAAATGTATTGGAAATGATTAAATGTATTAATTTTCTTATGCAAATGTAATCAACTTAACTGTCCTGTATGGTTATATTTTAGGTTCTGTTTTATGTGTCACCGGTCAAAAGATTAGTCGGAGCCCTGATGACTGTCTTATCTCTATTTCCTGGTAAGAAACAGAAGAGTAAAAAGTGCCAGAGTCACAATGCCACAGCCTAAAATTGGAATCATTTAATACATAAAACCCTGCCCAATATGTGATACATTTATGCAATTTTGGTTTATGTCACTGCTGTGTTTGCCTTCCCAGAAGAAAAACTTAAACATATCGCACTTAATTAAATAAAAAAGCAGGCTTCACAATTCTAAGAACATAGTGGGTTTCAGATGCTCTGCTCCAGGCGTTAATATACAGTGTGCTTAGTTCCTGAGCAAGATCAGTACAATTTTAAGTGGCTTCCAAACTGCTTATTATAATGTTTCAAATTGACGTTCCAAGCACTGCTTTACCTGCTCTGACTTAAGTCGGTTTCTGGTTCACTGAGCAATGTTTAAGCAAAGTCTTTTTCAGGACTTTGTGGACGCCATTTACTTCCTCGTCTGTAAAAAGGAATGTTTTGGACCGGCAGCTATACGTTTGTTTCAGTGAGTTCTGATGCATCCAAAGAAATGTGAAAAACACAAATGTCTCTCTTCTCCTTTATGTTGCGTTACGGGATGACGGTCAGCAAGCGTATGAGAAAGACCTTGTGTTTCACAGGCATGATTGAACATGGGCTTGCAGACTCTTCACACTACAGACCGAAAAGGAGCGTATCCGAAGACGTCGGCCTCTTCGAAGGCGTTGCCGGCTCCGAGGAATACGTTTCCGTCTCCGTTTCGGACGCTTTCGGCAGCGCCGGTGCCGAGAGCCGCGGAGAGCGGCGGGAGACCGCGGAGGAGCGCCCGAGGGAGGCTGGCCGGACGGGGCAGCCCGCCCCACAGCCACGGGGACAGGAGGAGACACCGCAGCCTCCCGACGGAGACAACCACCGCCTGAAACCTCCGTCTCGCACTTCTCCGGAGTCCTCGGAGAGCGACTGGGAAACCCTGGACACCAGTGTTCTCGAGGAAGGTGCCGCCAAGGAGGAAGAGGACAGGGAAACTGCCGAGCTCCTGGAAACCTTTGACCCCGAGCTGCCAGGCCTCCCGATCACTGTCCAGCCGCAGTCCAACACGGGGCAGACCGTCCTCATCCCGGGCTTGATCTCGGGGCTGGAGGAGGACCAGTATGGACTGCCCTTGGCCATCTTCACTAAGGTATTTTTAATCCCACTAAAATGACACTGAAATTAATTTGTCATTGACTTTTGTCACTTCAGTGATTTTTTTTTTATATCTTCACAGATATTGATCGCAGTGCCTTAGCTTCAGCTACACACTGACAAACTATTTACCCTCCTTTACAGGCTACAAAACTCTTAACCTGTACCTCTGTACTGTACATATGCCATTTTACAATGTAATACAAAAGAAAAAAACGACTATTTTTTCCGAAATCTTTAAAGACGCATGTTGTTTCATTCCTTTAACAGAGCTGTGTACATTGGAATTTATGATCATTGTCAGATTAAGAGAAGGACTGCTGCATTTTGGCAAGACAGAAAGTCTGTAGAAGTTGTGTAAGACGTTGCGGAATCATTCTTTGTCTTTCAGCTGTAAATTGTTCCTTTGCCAAAAACCAAAACAACAACTCCATGCCCATTTCAAGGTGAAAAGTTCCACTACATGTTTTACAGTATAAAACAGCCGTGTACTCAGTGCTTAAAAAAACAAATACAACAAACATGCCTATCAGTTTTTTACGGCCTGATGCAAACACAAACACCACAGAAGGTGGACTATCTATTACCCCTTATCCTTCCAGACAGTGAGATCAGCCCTTAACGCTTTTGCCAGTGTGGAGCTGCCCATTGCGGACCTTGTTCTTCCAGTGAAGTCGGCTGTTAAATATCTTTTTAAGCCGTCTCTGATGAGTGCAGCCGAATGGTTTAATGTTGAAAGGCAGGTAACCTAGGTGTATTCCTACAAGCAGAAAGGTTTGGTAGAACAGGGAGGATATTGTACGTTACTGTAAGTGTTCCATGCGCTTGTACTGCCAGCCTGCCCCATCAGGCTGATTGGTTAATTGATGGCTCTGAAATGTCCCTGTGCCAGTGTGTGTGTTTCTTGTGATGAACTGACATCTCCTGCAAAGGGTGTAGTATCCCCTTGCATATGTATATATATATATTCACAGGATGGCTTCCAGTTTACCAGGAAGGAGCAGCTGTACATGATGTATGGATGGAGGCTTTGCTCCTGAGGCCCTTGTTTCTTTCCTGACCCTGTCCTCTCGCAATAATTCCTTTCTCTTCTGTTGCCAGGGGTACCTCTGCTTGCCCTACATGGCTCTACAGCAGCACCACTTGCTCTCAGACGTGGCTGTGCGTGGATTTGTCACGGGCGCAACAAACATCCTGTTCCGACAGCAGAGGCACCTGAGCGATGCCATTGTTGATGTAAGCGTGCCCAACCTTTTCTTGTATGAATGACCAACTCGTTACGTGTGTTTTCTGAAGTCCCATGTCCTCCACGCTTTGGTCAGCTCCTCTGGACGTCGGGGCCGGGGAAAGGGGGAAGAAGCAATGTGCTTGATAACGGACCATATTGTAATGACCTTTGCTCCCAAAAGACAGATGAGCAGCATGCTTGTGGTTCCAGGTTGAAGAAGCCCGGATCCAGATCCAGGATCCGGAGTTGAGGAAGCTGCTGAGCCTCACCACGGCTGATCTGCGCTTTGCGGACTACCTGGTGAAACACGTCACGGACAACCGGGAAGACGTGTTCCTCGATGGCACTGGGTGGGAGGGGGGCGACGAGTGGATCAGGGCTCAGTTCTCCCTCTACCTCCACTCACTTCTCTCTACCACTTTACAGCAAGGTAGGCCATTGATGCGTTGGCTAGATACATGAGTTTTGACATAGTTGGTTATTAAAAATGCTAAGGCACTGTGGTTGCCCAGGGTAAGGTCCACTCTGGGATTGTGTGATCAGACCTGACTAAATGCCCCCCTTCATTTACCTGGTAGAGCAATTTCTCACTTCTTCGCCTGCTCTGTAATGGGAGTACCAAGTGAAATACAGGGAGTTAATGTTATTACTGATCCCATTTTTATCAAAATGTTAATTTCTATTATCCAGGAAAGTTAAGGGTGCAGAAACTGTAAAAAAATAAAATCTGTACATTTAAATTCGGTGAAGCAGATGGTGTGAAGTGCTCTGCTCTTGCTCTTGCGGTATGGTTTTGCTCATTTGATTGAGCAGTCTGTCTAAATGACAGTGGCTGCTTGGGAATGACCCACGTGCTAAAATGAACACCAGGTTTGATTTTAACCTCAACTAACATGGACTTGTTTAATTATCAGCACAGGGAAGGCCCAGGAACCCTGAGATCTGCTTTCCTTATTTCTGTAGATAACGAAAAGATGCTGGCAGACTTCGGCTCTCCCTTCATTGCAGCCTGGAAAATCTCGCACAATTACCGAGTGTGGCACAGCAACAAGCACCCTGCGATGTCCGAGGTCACCCCTGGGTGAGTGTGTCTGAAAGAAAGAGCTCAGGCCAGGCCTGTGTCACACTGAATTATCGCCTTGTCTTCTCTGTGGATTTTCAGATCATTAAGAATTAATACCTCCAGTTTGTTTGAAAGAATACGGTAGCTAGTTCCTAGTTAAAATTTGAAATCTGTAATTTAAGAAAATGAAACAATTCAAGATTATTTATACAAAGTAAACCACTGTAAATGAGACTGTACGGTACCTTCATGCTTGCTCTGTTGGATCACTAGAACAAATATTTTCAAGTTGTATACCTGAGGGAAATTATGTACTGGTTAAAGTACTTTTGATTCCATGCAGGGGGAAACCATTTCAGATCCATTGTGACGTTTCAAACATTTCATTGATACCTGATCAGGTTTAAGGTTGCAGTAGCAAAAGGATGGAATGCTTCCCAAATAGAGAATAATCTGTTTTTCTCTGTATATGCATTTACATCCTGCAGACACTTTTAGGTTTATCCGTTTCGAGTAGTTTGTGTATTTTCTGCATATACAGTCTTAATTTGGAAAAACTGAACATTTTTCAGGGGGGTTGAATACTTCTGTATATCACTGCCTGTGTTTCTGTGTATATGTGTAATTAATGCCTGGAATAATAATTAGACCAAAGCTAATGGAAAATGAAATTTAGATGAAAATATAGTCATGGTCTTGACATTTTATGTCCTTAGAAAACTACAATCCCAAATCGAAAAACTGAAATTGCCTAGTTTTGGACAGGGTATAAATTTACATGATTTCCTTAAGAATTAAATTAAAAGTGTGGCTTCGTTCTTACATGGGTTTTGCAACTCCATTCCCCATTGGGTTTTGGTAGATGTATGTATATCCATCTCTGTAATGCAAGGAAAAATAAATCTCTTAAGAGCACCATATAATCTGCCATTAAACAAGTATATTGGAAAAGTAGTTGAGGCCTTATTGCTTCACTACATGCAGTAATCCAATTCTGCAATCTCCTTCTCATGACTTGATTGCAGGTTTTGCCCAGTAACTCTTTTCAGATAAGCTTCCTGACTCGCGAGCCTGAGGAGAGAGTGCTCATAATACTGACATGTTACACATCTTGGCACTAGGCCACCAATATAATTTGACGATCACACGGAGACAGGGTGACTTTATCTTAATTACAGTGACGTTCACGAAAGCCCGATATATCCTTCAGTCGTGTTCTAGTATTACATTCTGGTCCAAAGCCTGGTTTAGGTGCTAAATTCATGGACACGCTGGGAGATGTGCATAGTCGCTCAGTTAGTTGCTTATTTCTGCATTCAAAGGTAGAGGCACTTCACAACGTGGTTGTTCTTCATTTTCTGAAAGTTAACAAGTTCAAAAGTGTGAATGTTCAAATCTGGCAAAAGTGTTTTTGGGCATGAAGGACACTTTTTTCCCCACAAAAACCTGGACTCTGAACTCCAGATCGATTTATTTGCAGAGTAAAGGAGAATATATTGGACAGTAAGGTAAGAAAAGGTTTGAGAGTCATCCTTTAACTTTGTAAAATGAAAAATTAGCATCTGAATGTGAAGCCATGATGTTTAGCCTTTAGTTTGGTAATATTGTTTTCGATGCATGTTGTGAAAACAAACTGAAATAATATCTATTTACTTTATTTTAGCCATCCATTCCAAGGACAATACAGTGTTGCAGATGTGAAACTGAGATTCTCACAGTGAGTACATTAAGTCTATTTTTCATTTAGATATTAATAAAAAAGGTATTTGAATTTCTTAGTGAGCAAACGTTTGTGTGTTAATGGGCTGTGTTTATCCATTTCTATAACTATTTTTAAAGCTTTTGGTTTTCTGGGGGGAAAAATCTGCATACTTTGGGGAGTTTATCAGTTCTGTAGAGAGCAGCTACACAAACCAGCTTTTATGAAGTTCTCTAGCACTCTTGCTGAGAACACGAATGAGGTGTCAAGTCAGAATCTGGCTCTCTCAACATTTGACCAGGAATGACAGCCTCAAGAAAGCCGTCTTTCTTACAGCTACTGGCATCTAGTGGTTGAAGTCGGAATTGCCCGTTTAGCTTTGAGTTTTGTACTGAACTTCACATACTCTTTCTTTTCTTGTTGTGCTGGTCTGGAAATACCCCTCCAACTTTTGTTTTTTGTTCAAACTAAGCTCTTAATAAATTATGCGGATTGATGTTTATTTGAGTATTTGCCCTCTTTAAGACGTTTGAGGCTTATATGAACTTGGAGACAATTTTTTGGATGATGCACCAGTCTCCATGTAAGTAATTGCACCTCTGCTAAACTCTGTAAGAGTTTGTCCATCTTCACAAACCGGGTAGCTTAGCTCAGTGCAAATGTGAGCATGGCGAACTTGTCAACCTTGAAGTCTTTACGTGTCACCACGCAATTAGTTTAGTCTTAAGCCCAAAAAACTAAACCATTATTATTTGCTCTATTTGTCCTTTAGGCTGTATTGTTTTTATCTGAAATGTTTAGTACTGTGCATATAGAAAGAGAGAATCGCGATGCATCTCAGAATCGATTTTTTCCCCCACCCCCAAGGTTGACACCTTTTTATAAGATTTTTATTCGGAGCATTCTAAGGTTTTGTATTTGGAGATGGGGAGGAACTTTGTTCTTACAGACCAAAAATAAGTTTAACACGGGGATCATAACTGGTGGCAAGATTATCAGCGCATCCTTGAACTAAATAATACGTCTACAGGAGCAACATATTATTAATCTTGCCCATTAAAACTTGGAGGACCCCTGTCATCCACTCTTAAGAATATACTTTCCTACCCCCTGTGAGGATGTACAAGATCCCCTGTATAAAGACAAAGCACATTTACTTCCTTTAAACCTAAAAACATTCAATCATTGAACAATGAAAAAATGTTTTCAGTTTGGGATCTAATTATTTTTGTTCTTTTTGGACCTTTATAAGCTAATTATCTGTTTTTTAACCTACTAGTAGTGGAAGAGTCTCGATTGAGCAATATTGTCAATGGTAGTTTTTGTTTCATATTATGGCATTTTTTGGTTATTTTGTATTATTGTCGTATATGTTATATGGTTATAAGCTTTTGGTGTGCAAGACAGTTTCCCTTAGGGGGGCAATGAAAGGTAATTCTTCCACAACAGAATCGTTTTACCTCAACACAGAGAAATAGAGAAAATTATAATTTGAAATTCCAGCAGTTATTGACAAAGCCAGGTTGTTGAAGGTGATACCCTGGTCGTTTTTAAGATCGTCAAGGCATTGTCTAATAACATAATGACAAGGCACGTCTTCACGCTGGTTGACTTGGTGATACAAAGCAGTGAGAAATGTATTGTTCTTTCCACTACACCCTGGTGTATGCAGAAAAATTGATCCCTAACCTCCAGGCTTCTTTTTGCAAATATTACATCAGGGATCTGTAATTTTGTTCTTTACCATTAGTTTTAAACTTTAAACTAAGTAAAATAAAATCGCACAACTAAGATATAATATGATCGGTGCGCTTAGGGTAAGTAAGCTCTCCTGCCACCTAAAAACCTTTGTTACACAATGCTTCCTTATGGTAGTACAGCAGTCACCTAGTTTGTTTTTTATTGCCTATCCCTTTCATAATAGGAGGGTTTCATCCTTAAACTTAAATGTGACTTGCAAGAATAAGGTTTCATTCTAAGAAGTGTGAAGGAAACACAATATGGCCTGTGTTGAATTGCAAGTTCACAAACTAGCTTCTAAAATTACAGCGTGTCTTCTCCCCTTCTGTGCCTTAAGCTATACTTAACTATGAGCTTTGTGGTGAGAAACGAATTCTTACCTTCCTTTTCCTACATTTTTAAGAAAAACCTTCAAATTACTCTCTTGCTGTAAAGTAATAAATGCATGCATGGGTGTTGTATTCCTAGTTGTATAATTGTTTTTTTTCCTCAGGTTGCATAATTGGTCAATTTTAGATAATAGTCACATAACATCTATTATCAATAATAAAGATGTCTCTCAGTAAATTGTAATTAAAGGGCAAGAAAGCCTGAATGTTGAAATGCATGAAGATGTGGTAGCCTAACTGTTAAATTTTAATCTGAACTGGCTAATTATAAGAAAGTCACTCATGATTATAATTTTGAGCTGCCAGTTTTGTGCTAAAATGCAGATAAGTTCATGGCAGCGCATGATCAGTACTGAAAATATATGATAGAAGAATAATTGAGTGGAGAGGGAGACTGCAAAGATACTCATTACATACTCTCACGGGAAGTGACATTACTGCCACTCCCAGGTCCGTTTCCCTGGTTTTTATTAATAAAGACATCAGAATAGTCAGGCTTTCTGCAGTGTCTTCTGCCATGATTAAACTGAGTGGCTTCTTCTGTTTTTCAGTGCATTACAATGTAAAACATTTTTTCGTATTAATTAAGTCTGAAACATGCACATGTAGTTTGCAGAAAAATACCATTGATGTTGCACGTTAATCTTGAGAGGGTGGTAAATTTGGGAGAGATAAGGGAAGAGCTTACCATCCCACTAACAGCCCTGTGTTGTGGTTTTACTGCATTCTAGAGATGTTCATTGCTTTTTCAGAATGTCATGAGATGTATTTCCTTATTTGATTCAAGCTAGAGTTTTTAATGGTGCCTTTTCACCAATTGAACAGAGCTGCTAGCAATTGATCTGCAAATTTGTAGTTAAACGGTCCTGTTCTTGGACTGTCCTGTTCTGTAGTACTTGAAGACGAACAGTATCTGTGGCATGTAAGGAAAGCTTGTAGAAAAAGCAAGAAATACTCTTAATAATATGCATGGAAATGGAAAGGAGTATGTATAATGCTTTTACTGAGCATGTTTTTAACCTTTGTCAGCACAGCTCCCTTCCCAGTTTCTTCATTCCCTGGAAAAATGGTTAAACTGGGGAAAAGTAGGGAGAAAAATCTGTATAAACAGAAAAGATAATTCTGCATTTAAAGATAGTCAAGATACAAACTGGATCTTTGTTGGAAGTTATACAGTATAGGCACCATATATAGTATATGCACTTTGGAAGAGATTCAGCAAACTGGAACGTAAATCACATGTGGCATGCAGTGCCACAGCCTTCATACTAATGAGCAGCTTCACACTGTGTAAATCAGAACTGACCACAGTGTTCTCGACTGCTGGCTGTATTAGTGTCAAAACACTGCCATAAAATGTCATCTGACTGGGAGAAAATATATTCAAACATATGTAGAGTTGAAGTCACTAAATCTTCCTCTCCTTCAAAACACACCTTGTTATGTTTGCACTATTTTTCAAAAACCACTCCACTGTGCGTTTAGTTTTTTTTACAGGTTTTACCGCCTTAATGAAATTTTACAATTCGATGTACTTACCTTGTGCAGCCTATCAAATGATGTGCGGGCAGGTTGTGTTACAACAGCTGCAGATTACAGAGCATAAAAAGTTAAAAATGAGAGAAGGGTATTCAGCCCATCAAGCCCATTTGGTAGTAAATTGATCCAAAGATCTCATCTAGCCATTTCTTGACAGAAGCCAGGGTGCTGGCTTCATCAACATGGAACAGCTTGTTCCACACTCTCACCACCCTTTGAGTAAACAAGTACCCCCTGTTCTTGGCTTTAAATGCCCTTCCACATTTGCTTTGTTACAAAAGCAGATTATACTCTCATCCATATGGAATGATCTTTCTCTTAAAAGGTGGATTATTAGCTTAAAATATTGTTTTCAGAATTGAGTTTTGGATTTCTCTACATGTTCACCTGTTAATTAAAAACAGTGTGGGCCTTTAAATTCAGAAGATCATTTTTTTATTTAAAAAGTGTTAATGTCTTATTTCGGATTTCCTGAATTTTATACTCAATCAAAACATAGCTGTGCATTGGGGCTCCCAAGTACAGTGACTTAAACCACTAAAGGCTCTTGCTTGGAGTACAAGTTGGGCCCTATTGCCCAGATGCCCTGTGTTGCGCAGGCAGGATGTCCACAGGCTTGCAATGATGCCAGTGAAAGAGATTCGGTAGCTGTGAAGCTCATAATGTCTCAAAGTGCCAGTCCAGGTGAGCGTATTCGAGTAGCATGCCCAGGTATCGTGTTCTGTGCTTCCTCAAGGGAGTAGATGTTGGCCAGGTGTGTGCACTGCTGATTTATTTGATAATCCTTTTTGTCCTTTCGTTTTCCTGCGCTGTTAATGGCAGTTGTACGCAAACGTCAAATCTGGTTTTCATCACGGGCTTCTTAAAGTTAAGGAAACACAACTACATGGAGGTGACATATTCCTTCATACATGGTTCCATGCTGTAAGTGAAGACCAATCCAGATCAGGAAAAAGTAACTCTTGATTGTCAGTCAACAAGCGGTGATTTCACACTAGGGTTTCTCTCTTTCAGTTGCAAGCAGCTGAAAGATTTATTTGTGTCCAGCCAGAAGCCTGTTTGACACGTCACTTTAAATAGAAGTGTGCAAAGAAGGCTTAAAACTCGGTGTGAGGCTGGGGGATCTGTTGTATTAACAGCAGATGTTGTCGATTCTGCCACTGTTTCACTTGTCCCGTCACTCCGGAGGTTTTTTGTTCCGTTTTGTAACACAAATAAGGGATTTCATTCCACAACATCAACATAATCAGCATCTCCTACTGCAAGCTGAGTGAAAGTGAAAGCTCGACCTGTTTGTGAGTTGCCCTCTACTAATTGTTTCCTTTAGGGATGAAATACGTGATCAAGTCCTTACCTAAGGTAGTACATTTGTCTGCAGTAGACTTCAACACACAGCTAATACTGTGTGTATTAGGACTTTACATTACGTCTGTTGAGGTGTAGATTCACTGTTCAACAGGGGTAAAACACTTGATTTTTTTTTTTAATTTGCATTTTCAAGAATGATTGATGCATAATACTATATAAAAACTTATCAAACAGTTGATTCTTTTTTAGAAACATCCTTTTGCTGTAGAATTCTTTGATTTGGAAAAAATGCTTTTTCCTAGCAATGTACAGAGGAGCCTTTGTTTTTCCTTAGTGTATGTGGTTAGAAAAATGTGTATATTTACCATTAAGACAAATAGGTGAATTCAGAAACAAGAACATTGTACTAGTTAGATTTCCACAATATGAATGTTTGCTAGACAAGAGCCTAAAAGTGCATTTATTCCTTACAACCAAACTGATCTCGGTGTCTGCTATAGTTACAGCAGGACTGTGTAGACTAAACCATTTGTTGTGGTTCAGGTTAATGCACTGACATTTTGTTCTTCAAAGACGTCTAAAGGCCATTAGACTGTTTTTCAGCAGCTAATTAGTAGAAGAGAAACTTGGAACGTAGTCTGTTGCATTGATTGTATTTAACCTTGGTTTGCCAGAACTTTCATCAGTACCTGTCTAGCTGTCGCCTTGGTAACAGTTCAGGTTCTGGGCTGTAATTCAACAAGCTTTTTCCCTGAACTTAGAAATCATTGGCTCATACTGTACTTAAATTGGAGGGAAAGAGTCACTAATGTAAAACATACTATACTATATATTGATGCTTACATGCCCTGGTACAGAATTCACTGTGCAGCCTTTTGCTCCTGTTTTCTTTATTTCTGAAAAAGTTTCCAGGTTTGGAAAAATCCAATGCTGAAAATTTAAAGGAAATATGAAACAGACAATGTTTTGCACGGTTTTGGGGAGAATAAGGCAGAGAGCAGGAATATGTGGGCAAGGAGGGAAAAAAAGGAATCTGAGAATCTGAGTGAGCCCTCCTTATGACATAAGTCTTTCATCATGTCTGTTGCTGAACATTTTGGCATTAAGCATAGCTTGAAAGAGTTCACTGGCCTCATGTGACGTAGTAAGTTTCACGAGTTTCGTAATCTCAGGAAGCATGCAATCAAATGTCCGTAGGGTTGCAGAAAGTCACATGTTGTATGTGCATCGACTTTTTACTTATTGTTTGCTTTCCGGACTTTGGAGACCGGGATCACCTGGGTCTGGACTAACATGAGCCGTGAAGGTCTGAGAATAATTAAGTTTAATTTGATAGATTTTCCTAAAAAAAGAGAGAGAGAGAGGCAGCTGTCATGGTATACTTTTTGTTTCCCAGCTCTGTGCAGAATAGCGAGCGTGGCAAGAAGATTGGCAATGCTGTGATAACCACCAGCCGGAGTGTTGTGCAGACGGGGAAGGCAGTAGGTAAGCCAGCGCCTCGAAACAATGAAGGGCTCTGTGGTGAAACTAAGATGTCAAAATGCAGAGATGTTGAGTTGAAGGAGGCTGTCCTTTGTTTGCAGTTGCCTTTTCTCATACTGCCTTGCTGTGCTGCCCGATGTCATTTCTGCTTTATAGGGTGTGTGTGTGTGTGTGTGTGTGTGTGTGTGTGTGTGTGTAAAAGTGGAAATAGGTTCTGAAAAGAATTTCCACTTATTTTAGAAAAAGAAGTTCCTGTTTCCAATTTCCATGTGCCAGGAAAGCAAGTGTTGTACGCAGGATAAAAGCTGGTTTGCACTAGTACCCCTGGTGCTGTTACATTATTGTACAGTGCGAGCAAACTTCATGTCCCCTTTTCCAGATCTTAGGTGCCTCCTTTAAGGACTGTTTTTCAGCCTTGTCACGCACCCATATGCTTCGTGTGTGCCACCCATTGACAATAAGCTTCTTGACAAACGGAAATCTACTGTGAGAAATCCCACCCGGAGATCAAGAAACAGCAGATTCTGACTTGACATGTTGCCTAACTGCGCTTTCACTGTGCTTTGACGCTGGCGTACCACCACAAACCTTTTTAGGCGTACAGGAGGCGGGCACCTGCTGGTGCCAGGAGGCTGCTGGTGCTGGCCAGGTTTATTCACATCAGGGGGCTTTGGGGGAGGAGATGCGACCATGCGCGCTGGTGAAGCAGTGCAGCGGGGTGCGCGAAAAGTGTAAGAAAAAAAAACCTCTAAAAATCATTCTTCCGCTGTTGCCGTTGCAGGCCAGTCAGTCGGGGGGGCCCTCACCAACGCGAGGTCCGCAATGTCGTCCTGGTTTTCCACCCTCGCTCAGCCGGCCGTGGTGCCGGCAGCCGCGGTCCCTGAGCAGCAGGCGGGCAAGCAGTGACGCCGGGCCGGGAACGCGGAGGCGCACCGAGATAACGGGTGTGTGCCCGTCCTTGAACAGTACATTCCACATCAGTTTTACTCCCAGGGGCAGGACCGGTGACATGAAGGATTGTGGGATCAGAATACCGTGCGCGATAAATGCACCAAGTGGGCGTGGCTCTGCTCCAACCCCCACCTCCCACCCACCCCCGAGATATCCGCTGCTTTCCTAGGACTGACAGAGCATGAAGAGACGACCACAACATGATCATGCATAGTTAAGCTACCAGTTTCACCTCTAGGGTAGTGTCCTGTTTGTGCTGCATTTGCGTTCATAGGAACAGATGGACGCAAGAGTCCTGGGAGGGTTATTTCGAATCCTTCAAGATGATAAATCTTCTCGTAAAGTAGGGAGAACTGTAAAAATGTCAAACGTTGAATCAACAAAAGCGTTGTGGGGGGGAAATCACAAGCCCTTGAAAGTTTTTTTTTTTTTTTATGCTGTGTTCCAGCATCACTCACTGTGCTGAGCACATAGAATTTGGTAATTAAAAGCTGCTGCTTTCCCAAACTACACTACAGTTTTGTAGGCAGACCTTCAGAATTCCCGTACCATGCATCATGTCCCACGCATGTTTTAACAGGCGAACTGATTTACAGTATAAGGCCAGGGTGTACTTTTTTTTGCATATACATGTGTTTTGCTCCATTGCAACAAGTATACAGTATGAAATTTTAATGAGTTTAAGGAATGACTTAGTCAATTAAAATATTTATTTTTGAGTACTTTGGACAGTGTTTGCAAAAGCAGTACTGAGATGAAACAATACTGGCCATGAAAAGAAAAATCATTATGATGTTGTTGACAACAGCAGGAAATTCACACTGACATTTTATTGAACATACATGAAATGGGTACGTTCGTGTCCCCATCCACTTTTATAGACCAAACTAGCTTGTACCTCTTCAAAGCTCTCCCATACTTGGATACCACTGTTGTCCCAGCTCACCCCACAAGTCTCCTTTGGGGCTGAAGTCTGGCGGGCAGGACATCCCCAACATAGCCGTCACTTTCTCACCCCGTCGCAAAGCTGACTCCCACACGAGCAGCATGAGGCCTGGAGTACGGTCGTGTCAGGAAGGGCAGTAGGTGAGGCTGGAGGACGTGATCAGCGTTGCACCGTGCAGTCAATGCTTGGATCAGCTCAGACGCAATTAGAAAATGGGATCCAGAGCATGCAGTGCAGAATGCTCTCGCAAAACTGCCCCGCCTGAATTTTATGCGGTTTTATAAAACGAGCGGTTTTGAAAATGAATTCAATCTTTCCTTATCTGCTCATTTACAGTTTACTTTTACCTGTAGTCATCAATCACTACCTGTAGTCATCAGTCACCTGTAGTCATCAATCACTACAGGTGGAGCTCTGTAGCGACTGGAGACTCTTGCCAAGCCCATCACACTCGGCACGCGACAAGCAGTGGATTTTGGTATCTTTCTGCATTTTTATTTCTTGCTTTTCACCTGGCTTGACATTCAACAGGTTAAATCACCTCATCGGCTGTTCCCAGTCAACTCTCCTAAACTAAATCAGCTAGCGTACTGCTTATGCAGCATTACATCCTACCACAGCCAGTCACGAACGATCAATTAATCAAAACAACGTCAAGACACTCAGTCAGTATCCAGAATATGTCTACTTTCATTTTATCTTTAAACACACAAGCATTCACATGCATGAATAGGGTGATAGGTGTCCTTTGATGCTCAGTGCATTACATATTTCTTGCCGGAATGCTTGGATCAGCTCAGACGCAATTAGAAAATGGGATCCAGAGCATGCAGTGCAGAATGCTCTCGCAAAACTGCCCTGTCTGAATTTTATGCGGTTTTATAAAACGAGCGGTTTTGAAAATGAATTCAATCTTTCCTTATCTGCTCATTTACAGTTTACTTTTTACAGATGATCAGTATTTAAAGATAGTTTTTGAAGCATAATTTTATGCGATCCATTACTGATTTTCCTTTCTGCCGACATCATTGGAAGACACGCAGGGTTGGTGTTGGAGAGGACCAAGACGCACAGTATCAATGGAGATTCACTGGTCTTTGCTGTGTTATAATCAGGAACTATGTCACCTTAAAGACTGTAATGGAGAAAAAAGTCTTGCATGTCTTTCTTTTCACTTACATTGCACTAATCTTCAAGAAAGGCGTGGGGAAAAGGTGTACTAAGTTCAACAGGTTTATCTAACAAAGGCTTTTGTTTAGGTTTAGAGTGCAGTATGAGCTCTAAAACCTGGAATTTCAGGCTTTTTTACTAATGTACTAATAGTAGCTCTGGAGTGGTCTGAGTACTTGCAGAAATTTGCAGAGGGCAGGTTGTTTTCTGCCCAGTGCTGACTCTATAGTTGCCTAGGTGTGTGGAGCACTGAAAAAACTCATCTATCACTATGAAAAAAGTGACACCTGGATCAATAGCATGTGGTCTCAAAGAAAACTCGGTGTGTAAATTCTGTTTTCCAGGATGGGATTAAAGAGTATGTTCGTTGAGCAATATGCTAAATTGAGGCCACTTGGAGAGACATTAAGCCAATAGTCAGTCCCAGCAAATTATTTAAATAGTTCAAATGTCTCATTACATATCGTAACTTAATCAGTAAAAGTCATTTAAGTCACAAGTGAGGACTTGTATATCCAGAGGAGGCCCATATCATGGATGTTGTTGGCCTCCTGTGACCAGGGCCTGACCACAGTTCCTCAGGTGGCAGTGCACAATTGGCCAAACATCAATTGGCTCATGTGGCTCGTCAATGGCAAGCGTATTCATGGCTGCTGGCTAAGTTATAGCGCCCCCTGAGTTTCAATCTGATGTTTTACCAGGGAGAACTGTCCTTCCTCTGAGGGCTTAGTGGCAGAATTAGATGGTGCCCATTTTATTGGAAATAAAATAATAAAGCAGAGTAAAGACGATACAAGATACTGCTATACCGATAAGAAAATGTCCTTTATCGTAGTGATATTAACTTACTAGTAAAAGTGAAAGCCTTGCTTATAATGAAACCCACATATGGTAGGTAAAGTACAGTAGTGTAAGAAACAAAACCAGCTTGAGCAGTCATGCTTTAAGAGGCTTTTTTTTTACTGTTTTTTTTTCTTTCAAGGCATATTGCATTCCTGCACTAAAGGTCTGTTAGTCAGACGTGTCACAGGATTTTATATCACTTAAGTGAGAGCAAGTGAGAACTCAAACCATGAAATAGCTTATCAATGAAGGTGAGAACAGTGTAGCAGCTTACATTTGTTTTGGAATGGGAGGGCAGTCCAAGGTGTTCAAACATCAACATTGAGTCCCTGCAATGTTCTGCGGACTGCTTTGACAACACTTTGGAACAACTTTTAATTACTGCCACCTGGAACACATAATTGCACACAGAGACAAAAATATTCTTACGTATATTTGATCTGTATCCGTGTATTTGAATTATTCTTTATCACTAACAATTTGTATTTGTTATTGACTTTTTAAGGCTAACACAGCTTTCCGATTAGCACAGGCATGAGGTTTGATCTTAAATTCACTTTGTAAATGTAAAAAGATGCATAATGGTTTTCATGTCTCTTTGAAGCCTTGTGGTGAAATTTCAGGGTTTAAAATTCCTGTGTCTCCCAGTATGTCCTATATATAAATCATTAATGTTTGATTTTTTTTTATAAAATTGTATGTTTTTCTGTATTTATTTTTGTTGTTCCTGTTGTTGACATCAGATGAATTTGAAGTATCAGAAATCCATGACCGTTTTAAAAGTTCTAATATTGTAAATGGATGTTTTAATGTATGAATATATTATAAATGTGAAATGTCTTGACTTCACCCAAAAGAGTTCTATATGCTGACAGTTTGTTTTAAAGTCTTAAAGAAAGAAAAGCTATATATTGCATTGCACACTATATTAAATGATGAACTGTATTTGTTCAAGTGTTTTGTTTATTCTTATTCAATTAAAAAAGTTTGGAATTTTTACAGAATGCATGTACTTCTTAATTGAAAATACATGCTCATGTCCCTGTAAATAAAGAAAAGTGGATTGCCTTTCTCCCTCACCCTTTTAACAGCATCCTGACCGTCCCAGTCGAATTGTGTGACCACTCTTCAAATGTAGGTCATTTAACAAAAGCCTACGTTTAGCATACCGCAACACAGAGCTGGACTGCAGGCACAGGAAAACAGGCCAACATGCTGTAGATGGGTGGGTGCGTCAGGGAATAGTTCAATTTAAGCTACAGAGGAGAAAAAAATAAATTGCCATCTAAGCACAGTGTAAACATATTTACTAAACGTAGTACGGGGGCTGTTTGGCATGCTATTTTATCGTGGTTCCAGTACTGCCGTTACAAGTAGTAGAGGCATCGAAGTGTAAAGCACTGATATGAAATCAGTTGACAGTGGTAACTTGCCCTACAGCCACTGAAGACATCAATATGACTCTCTCAAGGGAAACCACTTTTAAAGAGATTTACAGTACGTGCACACCCAAGCATAAAATATATGTGACATTATACTTGGCTCAAAAGTGATTTCTTTGTATGTTACTTTTGTACTGTGCTTAACATTTTTAGTGTATATGTTGATGATGATATGTCATAGACTGATCCAATAAAAAAATACAACCGATCCCACAAGAAAAGGGTGGGTAGTGCTAAGAACCCATCTGCAAGAGGATATTAGAACAAAATGGGGTTTGGCTGTAGAGGCTTCTTCGGGTGTGAGGAACACCAGGTGAATAGGCACTAGCTCATCCTGCCGAAGCGTGGGGGTGGCTGCAATCTTCTCTCCCACCTGCTTAGGACTGGACGCTCCCCAGACTGGTACAGACCGCTGAATGAGAGTGAGGAAATATTGGGTTGGACCCCTTGAGGCTGTGCAGCTGACCCACACTACAATCGCTCAAGGAGCAGAGCTGCCCTGTTGAGTCACTGCAGAGAAGGGCACCGATTGCAGTCACTGTCTCCAAGAAACCACTTCCTGCCTTTGTTGCCTTTAGCTTCAGGGGAAAGGGTGCCTGGCTTCATTGCTAACAACTCTGGTTTCCTCAGAGCTTGCATTACAGGGTGTAGTTGGTAAAACTGCACTAAAGTGAAATATATCTCAAACATGCACTGAATCTCAGTGTGTCCTAACTAGGTGCAAAGAGAGCCAGGAGCCATTAAACCTCATTCATTGATTTCGTTTCTGAGGCATTTGTTTCTCAACGCTGTGGCCTACTTACTAGCGGAACATGACTAAACCACTGCTACTTTTTAATTTGGATTTTAAAAAATCCCCATTGGAAATACATTTTAATCAAAATGTGCTCACCGTTAATAGTTGTAGAAGACGAACTGCTAAGTGTTGTTCTGGAAGTGAGCACAGAACAGCAATACATACAGCTGCACTCCTGAAAGGATGTTTTTTTTTGTGGAGAAGAGCCGCTATCGCCTCCACTGCAGTCATACCAGAGCTCACCAGATTAATTAGCAGTTTCAGCATTTGCACCCAGACTGTTGGGCATAAATGGTTTGAAAATATTGTGCACTCGGATGTCCACTAAAGTACATTTCAGTCTGTTTTAAAGCAAGGTAAAGGATTCAAAGCTATAAAGCAAACTAAAGTAAATGAATCATGAACGCTAACTGCTGTGATCCCTTCTGTCGAGTCACTGTGACTCCTGGTGTTACACTAGCCAGGTGCACAGAATCCAGAATCCCATTATGTGGCTGAGTGGACACTTGCGCATAAGAACACCACTGCACAAATAAGATTTCCGTACTGCAGGTTTGTGTAAAGTTGTTTTTTTAATAAATTAATGTCATTCAAAATACAGTGCCAAAGGAACAAGATGCAGCCGAACATGCTAGATGCTAGTAAGGTTTATCATGAAGCACCTGTGCTCATGTTAAGAACAGAGGAAGCCCCCTTTTACCCTTTGCTACTGCTAGTGGTTCCTGGGACGAATTCCAGAGCAACACCGGGGAGCTGCTCTTCTCCACAGACAGCAGCAAGATTCCTCAATAGTTCACTCACAGAAAAAAAGTAGTAATTAAAAAAAGAAAAACGATAGGTAAGGATATCTATACACAATCACACTACAGTAATGTCCGATATTAAATTAACAACAACAAAAACTAATACAAAATAGACCTGGTTATTTCCACACTAAAACTTTTTTTTAACAAATGAAAAATATATATTTATATATAGATATATTTCAGCAGCAGGAAAATAATGCATGAGCCCAAAATTTTCATAATAGAGAGAGTGGAGGCATGTATTGAAGAGACCCGCACTAAATAAAAGAACAAAAAAAAAAACAGGCCGGCAAATCCTATTGCAAATCCAGCAACATTTCGGAGTCCGAACTTTGTAAACTACCGGCTGTGTGGAAGACCTGTGTCCAATTAGACAGGCTAGAAGTTTAGATTACTCTTGAAGGAGGGCCTACTTCTGACTGAACCAGCAGCCACAAGGTCCCCGTTCCTAAAAGCTGTTGCTGTTAAAGAAATAGATCTGCCCTTTATCAGTGGTGGGACAATAATGAGGTTTTGGTACGGTTGCCATCATCTTCCATGGAGTTCCCCATAAGTGCATTAAGTTATTCAGTTATTTAGATCACATTGTAGAAACAGTATAACACCCCTGTATTAATTATCAGAAGTAGCAACTGACATGTATATACAGGTAAACAGGCTTAATTCGTATTAGTCAGGACCATAACATTTAATATGAATTAGGTAAAATACGATTTATGCGCAGGAAGGTTTTTAAGACGACTGGCGCATAATACATACATCTGTACAACGTAAAATTCTTCATGTAAATGTACAATGAATGACCAAAGCACACAAGCTTCAAATTTGATTTTAAGCACATCATGTTACAATGTTATTGTTCTATTTTTTTTTTCAGTTTAACACTCTAATCACTGGACAATTTTGCACTTATCAAACAGGAAGAGTAAAAGCAGTCTCGTTTCAGCTCTGTAGCACAAACATCCCGACTTTATATAACATGTGAGTATATGTGATTACTTTCTTTCACAGAACACCTTTTCATAAGGTGAAAAACCAGTGTCTATGTATGAGTGACAGGGCGCAGTATGCAGTGGCTCATTACAGAGGGTCACATCTCCCCTTGCAGACAGATTCTCCCCCTCTAAACTCCTTCCTCTCAGAGCAACCTCAGGGACCAACAAATGTCGGTATATGTAATCAAGGTTATGGCTTGACCAATACAAGTAGTGTCACTTTACCTCTGCTGTGGTGTGATGAGAACAGAGTGCCATTTCTAAGACAAATGTGAACTGCACTGTGCTAAAAGATGAGGTCCTCCATCACCAGGAGAATTTCACACTGTCTAGCGTTCAAGGGAGGGCATCTATCGCCTTCTGTAAGAGTCTCTTGCACACTAAGCCCTGTATAGGTCAGAACGTGGAATATTTCAGTGGAGTACTTTCAGGCAGAAGAAAACACAGGGAAACATCTTGCTAACTGCAGAATAACCCAGACATCTATACAGCCCCAGAGGAAAAAAAAGAATAAGTGCATGTTACATATGAAAACAGACCAAATCTGCACAGTAACATTCCCATCAGGCAAGCAGAGAAGACAAAAAACGTATAACAAGGCTCCTACCATCCAGTGACTCTTAGAGCCAAAAGATCTGAATATAAGCAACTTGCTATAGCCTTTTGATATCTCGTTTTGTTTACTGCACAGGATGGTAGGAGAAATACGGTCGCATTCCAGAGTTTTCTTTTATTAGTGCTTTGGGGTTTATGCTTTCACTTTTGACGATATGAATTAAGAAATGACTTCCGTTACAACGTATGCGAGTTTTCTTTGAAGGAATGGGGGACTTGGCAAGTTATGAAGTGGTTTTAACAGGAAAGCAATCGAGACGCGTTTAGAGACCACGATGACACGACTTACACGTGTTTACCTATATATTCGAAGGGAATTAACGTGTTAATTTCTGTCTGAGACATTCCATTTAGTACCGCGTGTGAAGGGACAAGGCATGAGATAGGATGTGAGCGCGTGTGTGGGGGCTAGTTGTAAGAGGGGGGGCACACCGACTTCTCCGCACTGGTTTTTCAAATACTGCTTGAAACATCTGTCTCATTGAACATCCTGGATCGAGAACACCCCCTTCCTCGGAGACCAGTTCTGGGGTGCACGGTCCAGTCTGCGGGCTGAAAGCTATACATGGGGAAGGGACACCATCTCGCCGTCCATCTCGAACTCTTCAGCTCCGTCAGGGGAGAAGAGGTAGGTGGGGGGTTTCCAGGGGGACTCCTCCAAGCAGGAGGGATACAGTTTGCCCACGGCGCAGCGGAAGTCCTTGCCCAGGTCCCAGAGCACGCGCTCCGAGATCGGCTGCCGCAGGAACCAGCGGTCCAGCTCCGCGTCGTACTGGTAAATGGCGTAGCGGGCCCGCTCGTTCATGTGCGTCTCCCGCATGAAGATGCACAGGGAGTTCAGGATGACCACCGCCCTGACGCAGGGGTCGGAGTAGCGCTTGGCAGGGATGTTGGCGGCCGTTCGCCACTCGTTCTTGTTGACGTCGTAGATCTCCACCGTCACCGAGGAGCCGTCGACGGTGCTGGTGGGCAGGCGGATCCCCGAGTTGCTGACGACGTGCAGCCCCCCGATGTAGAAGATGAGGTCTCCGAAGCTGGCCGCCGAAGCGAAGCAGCGGCTGGTCTTGCGCGCGGCCATCTCCACCCAGGTGTCGGCCCGGGGAAAGTAGCAGTACATCAGGTTGTGGGTCATGATGTAAATGCAGTTGTGGGCCACCACCGAGGTGCTCCAGTTCCAGGCGTACGGCAGGGGGCTCACCATGGTCCACTCGTCCTTCTCGCAGTCGTAGCGCTCTACCGTCCGCCTGTTCAACTCGCCCCCCACATTGTCGCCACCGATTGCATAGATGTA